CCGCTGCATCGCGCCCGAAGAAGCTTGCCGGACCCACCCCCGGCGAGCTTTTTTCCATCTTTCGACACACCATATGCGTGCGTGTTCTGAAAGAGGGAACAGCGTCGGGACAATCGGACGCGAGAGACAATGAGACTATTTTGCGAAAGAGAAAGAGACAAAGAGAGTGAGACAGATAGAATGAGAGAGCGACAGAGAGAAAAAGAGAGAGAGAGAGGAGAGAGAGAGAGGGGGTGGGGGAGGGTGCGGAAGGAAGGGCGACCGGGCGTATCAGCAGTTACCCCTTGCTCTCTTTATCGCGCTGCAAGCCGGCTTGTGATGCGCCGCGTTGTAATTGAAGTGCATATCGAGCTGGTGCAACGGCTCGCTCTCCGTGCCGCGCAGAAAGGCTCTTTTTAGTTGAGGCGAAGCGGCAAATGAGAACGACGGAATCCGCGATGGCGGATTAGTTGATAATACGAACGCTGATAATAACAGCCAACGGGGAACGGAAGCGAAAAGGAGGACGTCGTCGGGAAAAAAAGGAGAGAAGAGGGGGAAAGAGGAAAAAATACGCGACTATTGCGATAGTTGTAACAAGGCGAAATTGGTGCGCGACGACGATCGAAACGAGAGTTTCAGGGGATACTTGCGTGTATACGACTATATTTAAAACATGCGAGACGTATCACATATCAGGTGACGTAATATCGAAGAGTCGATAGTTGCCGAGAAACGGCAAATGAGAAACTTTTCGCGAATTAAATCTCGGTATCGCGTGTGAACACCGAAATGTCGCGTCGCGCCGCCAATTTCGAGATGGAATCCGATTTCGAAAGCACTCTAATTCCACGTTTGACTGCCGAAATGTGTCAACGGCGAAAATTGGAAGATCGCATGAGGGAGGAGAAAAAAAAAGGGGGAGAGAGAGAGAGAGAGAGAGAGAGAGAGAGAGAGAGAGAGAGAGAACGTGAAAATATAATAATTGGTCCCGCGCTACGGCGGGGATATCGACGGGCGCGAGAACGAAACTTCGATATTCCGCGCTTAAGAACGCGAGATTTCCGAATCCGACTGAATTTCGCGAAAATCCGGGACATGTATCGCAATTTCGGTCAAACATCACTGGTGGCGATGTTAAACTTGCTTTACGAGAGCACACAAAACCATCGAGTATACTCACCATTTACATCGCGTCTATCCACACGCGTGCGTACTTGTAACCCACTCCTCGCTAAATACGAGCCCCATTCGTGCTCGCACGCGCTCACGCGCTCGCTCTCGCTCTCGCTCGCTGTCGCGCGCGCGCGCGCGCGCGCACGACTCTAATAACACGCGAAAGCGCCTCATTATTTGCGACGAGGAAGTAACCGCGGGAAAAAATATTTTCTCGCCGACGGCGGTAATTAACGTCCGGAGTTTTTTCTTGGGAATTGCACGCGGGCACGACGCGGGCGACGATACGCGCGTTCGCCAACTTTTTCTTTTCGCGGGTGCACCGCAACGCGGCACGGCAGATCGGCCGGGCGAATTTTATGAAAAGCAGGGATTAGATTCAGCCGGACTGTATTAAGCGGACCGGGCTCAAACGTATACACATAGTGGAATGGACACATGCGGAAGAAAGGCGTCCGGTAAAACTCACTCAGCGCCGCGGAAAAGCTAAATGAAAATAGTGCTTTGCGGCAGCAAGAGCCGCAACGCGCGAAAGTAGCAGCGGGACTCTCTGCTCGCGTCACGTCGCATCGCATGGCATCGCGTTGCTGCACTTGCGGTGCAGCAGAGAGAAAGAAGGGCGAGAGAGATAGGGAGAGAACAAGCAGGAAAGAATCGCGCTCCAATTTCGAAAGCGCACGTCGCGTGGAAAATTCGCGGCGGAACAAAACATTTTGTAATAATTCCCGCTGCACCGACATCTGCTTCCGTCCTATCTCTCTTTTTGTCTCCACAAAAGAGCGATTCTCTCGCGTTTTCTCTCTCTCTCTCTCTCTCTCTCTTCTCTCTCTCTCTCTCTCTCTCTCTCTCTCTCTCTTACGTCCCTCCTGTCATCGAAATTGCGCAAAATGTGACAAGGATCTTAATTAAAATCACGCGATAAAGGTCCGGATAAACAACGGGAATAAATCCAGAGTGATGATTCATGCGCTATTCGTTTCGTAGAGCACGGAGACTGACGCGTTTTATATGAGCGGCAATCGATAGCCCACGTGCAAAGAGGAAAAGCGTAAATAAATAAAGGATATCGACGGGGTGGACGCTACGGGCGCTGCGAGAGCCCCACATATCGATATCGACATTTTCATTAATGTTCCGCGGCGGTTTTACATCCGCCGCGCTATTGTCGTTTTTCTCGTTTTACGTCGAAATTAAATCGCACTTTATGGTCGACGGGTTGGAAGAAAGCACACAAAGGTAAGACATAAAGAGAGGCGAATCGACGCGGTCAAATCGCGGAGCACGGGGAGCGAGGGGGAGAAAAAGCTGCCAATTATGTATTCAAATGCGACCGCTGTCGCAGGGAATGCGCCGGAAAAAAAGGAGAGAGATTCAATTAAAAAAATCTCCGGTGTTGCGGAAACGTCACGGGTTTCCGGCGCCGCTGCGCTCCATCGATTTTATTTTACAGTACAGTCCCATTCCGCCGCCCTTCCCCTTCAAAATTGATCGGCTGAGTTTCATCTTCCGACTTGATTACAGTTACCATTATCGATACCTGGACGCGCGGCCCGGACGGCTGTATACTTTCGCGGGATTACATTTAAAATGGAGATCGCGGTTCCGCGAGTTTGGGCAAACGCTCGCAATAAATAGCTCGCCGATGCCGTTGCTTCGAAATGTCGCCCCGGATGCCATGCTTCAAAAAAGGAGATATAAAACACACACGCACGCCCGCGCAAACAAACACACACACACACACCGGGGAAAAACGGCGCATTCTTGGCACATTGGCCGAATATCGTAAGAACGGATTGCATTTTTGCTGTTTGTTACATTTATATTTCCGTCTGTTTTGCATAAAAATCATTCTTATCCTTCGTCCATCACGTAATGCTTTATGACATCGAATTATTTATTGCCTCACTCAATCTCACCTGAGATCGCGGTTACGTTGTAATTTATAGATTGCACGAAGCGCATGCAAAATAAAGAATGCAATTTTATGCTCAGTTTAAGAAATGAGAGAGACAAGAAGAGGGAGAGAGCAAGAAATATAACGTTCGCGAGCCGAACAAGCAGCGCGCGCACCGGCGCCTGATACGACTATTTTATACTCATTACGATATGAATGTTCAATGCGTGCTGTCCGTGATATCGATAAATAAAGCTCACCAGCAGCGGACAAGGCTGTTTGGAGCGGAACGCGCGCACGACGAGAATTACGAATCGCAGCGCGCGCGCGCGCGCGCGCGTGCACCGTACAGCTCGCGACGCGTAAATCAATTGCGAAAGAAACTCTCTGCGAGTCATAATACGTTCAAGCGGGCGCGCGATTATACGATTATGCTCGCGTCCGGCGAGACTGGCGAGAGCACCAATTATCGCCGCGATTTGTACCCGCGTCATATCAGCGCACCAACACCGCGGAAGCGCGAAATAGATACGCGCGCCGCGCTGCCGGATGCGCGATGATAAAACGCGTAAATTCGCCGGCCGCGCGATGATGATCCGGTAAATTTGTCGTTGACGGCGTAAAACAAGGGACGAAATTAATTGATCGTGCTTTAATTATAACCAGACGCCGCAGTTACGCTGCACACATTGGAGAGGGAGAAACAGATAGAGGGGGAAAGTGAGAGAGGAAGAGAGGACATTGAACGCGCCCGTTTTAGCGAATATACAGATCATTAAACATATCTGGCGAATTTTCGATGGAAAATTCGCCAGATATGCTTCGCGGCTGTTTCGGCGATTTCTTCGGAAGAACGACGAGCCACGGGGAAAAAAGGTCGGTTGAATTAACGTGACGCGATGAACGAACGGAGCACGTTTCGGTTGAAGGAGACCGCGAATTCGTGCTTTTTATGAATTGAATTCCATCCTGAGAACCAGACCAGATCCTGGTTTCTTTAATCAAAACGTGACTGATTCGATTATGGCCGCGTTAACTCGACCGATTTTTTTACTTTCGCGCAGGGAATGATCGATACGCGAAAAGAGAAGCCGTCTTGGAGAAACTGCAATAAATAACAAAGTCGTGCACCATTGCGGTCGCGACTCGCATACATTAAATTGCGGACGATATAGTTATTGTGTTTCATATGCCAATTTCATTGTATGACCACGTCCGTCTGTTGGAAAATAATCACCAAGCCCATCCGCGGGAAACGGATTCACCGCGGGGCGAATCGATGCCGAGCGAAAGCGCATAGACCGGAGAGAAAATTTTTCTCCGCTCGAGAGAAAATGAGAAAATGGTCTCTCTGATCGCGGCCGCGTAATTCCACGCGAAAAACTAAATAATTCTCCCGTCCCGTTGGAAACGGCCTCCGATACGCGCCGGAGACAGTTCGGATTTTATCGCGAAAGCAGAGGCGGTCCCTCTCGGCCGGCGGCGCTCCGAAGGGACCTTTTATCTCTTTGAACGTCGTTTATTGGCAAAACAAAGAAATATGTCTCTCGTACTTTGGCGCGGCCGCGCTCGCGTTCGCTCTACAGAGATGTATGCCGATCCCGGAGCGAAGGAAAACCTTCGTCCTTCTCGCGCGCGTCGCTCCCTCGCGACTCGCGAAGCGAAAGATACGGTCCGATAAAATATCGGCCATACGTCGCGAGAGGATCTTCGGCTTAGTAGTGCACTCAAGCGCGGTCTCGGGGACTCGAGTACACGACATTCGCGCGGATTAAATCTCGCCTGTTCGCGAACGAACGAGCGAGTGAGCGAGCAAAATCGGCGGATGCGAGGCGAAGCCGGCCATTAATACGGAGCAGATTAGTGCGCTCCCAAAATGCGTCTATTCCGACCACGTTTTTCCGGTTATATGAGATCCTGGCTGACTCTCGACCCGACTTTGTCATTACAGTGACAATGACAGATGCGGAAGCAGTGGCAGGCGGAATTGCGCAGTTACCCTGCGACGTGAAACCGCCGCTCTCCGGGGACAAGCTGCACCTGGTTATTTGGTACAAGGAGGAGGCGGACGCGCCGATATACAGGTAAACTCTTCTCACTTCCGAGCGTCTTTTTCTTTCTTTCCTTTCTTCCCGAGTCTCTTATCTCGATTCGCGCGTAAGTCGCTGTATCTCGTCTTTCGAATGGAGCAACGCACAGCGTTAGATGCGCGCCGTGGATTCGTCATTGCAGCATCATTATTTGTACATCTCGTATTTTATAGACGCAAAACAAAGAAAAAAACAGACAGCGCGTACGGGCAGTACGTCAAGTAAGGAAAGCGTCAATTCGTGTAGCGATCGTGTTTCTCTTTATTTTTCACCGCGGTAGCACGCGATAATAAGCACGAATGTTGCGGTACTTATGACGGCGCTTGTAATACTATTCCTCAATAGTATTATATTTATTCGGGTATTTACGCAACAATTTGCCAGATACGAAAATAATGAACGTCGCTATGCAAATTACTCCCTTGAAACCTGATTCCAATTTATAGCACTCGATGCTATCCGAAATTTGTAAATGCATTACGTAAACGTGATGTATAGAATAATCCGATAGGGCGCCTAATACACCAAGCTAAAAGCTTTCAACTATAAAGTTATATCAAATGATATCGCGCGAAAGGAGATGCGAATAAGGCTATGTGAAAAATTGTACGTGCAAAAGAGCGAAACGTCGACGATGTAGCTTAGCGGACGCGAAACGACTTATTTACCGATCCGACGCTTCAATTTCTACGTTTCACGTAACTTAAAGAGCTGCAATACAGTACAGCCGAGGTACAGAGAAAAGAGAAAAGAGAATTATCGTCGGCTGAAAATCTCGATAAAAATCCATCCTGTTGATTGAATCGTGTAGTGCTCTCGAGGTCAAAATACTATCTTCAACGTCACTTCTCTATTTGCATCGCATATTTAGCTAACGCGCGAATCGTACGAGTCTCGAAGTGCAATGTTCGACGCGTGATGTGCAAAGCGCCGTCGAAAATAACCAGATGCACGAGAGGTAAAAAACGCTCCCAACGAGATAATTATGGCGGTAACTGTTTGCGGAATGAGATTTATCAATTCCTCAGGACAGTCGGCTGATTATGCGCGGGATATACCCGTAGTCAGCTGAAAACGAATTCTTCCGCTTGTTCCACTTAATTCGCGCAAATGGAAATGCCTTTCAAACAGACAGACAGGCATAATTTACATTCCGCGCCGCGAAAGTGACATATCAAAACTGCAGGAGAAAATCGCCCGATGTTCTAGTTCGGATCCTCTGACGCTCATTAAATCAAAGCGAGTCGCGCTTTAGGAGGAGAGCGCGTTAATTGACCAATTTAAAATTGGCCGCGATCGCCAATCGAACGTTCGTCTACTATCGACCTCGTCGCGATGATCGTTATCGTCGTCCGCGATGCCGACTGCCGAATTCTATGTACGATCTCGTTTGCGTTTACCGTCGCATTCGCGTTTTCACGTTTGAAAAGGACGCTTTAAAAATCGCTACCGCTGTAACGAGTATCGCGAATTTTATACTCGTCGCACTCCATTTTAGACCGCGCGCGTATTGTTGCGGCCTTTATCATCATTATTATGATTTTCGCTTCACGCGTCTGAATAAACGTTTTCCATTGATCACAATAATTCGGCATTGTTCTAAATCATTCGACGCCGTGACCTAAACGAATTTTACTTCTACGTATAAATCAATTGTCTCGCGGTGCAGGGTTTTTTTATATGGCATTTCGCATAGCTACACTGTCGCCGCGATTTATTATTCCAATTTTGGCATATCGTACAGAACATGAAAAAAAAAAGAATAGAAATTACGCGTTGCATTATGCATTACTTTTAATTGCAAAAACGGACTATATCATTGTTGCGCCATTGTTATCTATTTTCCATATTTAAATAGAAATTTGGTAATTATTTAGAATAGGGGAGCCACCCCCGATTTCAATAATTTTCATATATATTATTATTACTATTCTCCTTTAATAACATGCAACAAATTTTAGTTGTCGGTCGATGCTAATTAAAAAGTTATTAACAAAAAAGTGTAATGAATAATAATCACGTATTGAAGTACTACGTGTCTTCTGTGGCATATTCTGTGTGACATATGTTATTAAGGACATCTTATTGAGTAACCTATTGTAGGTTTTAGCTGTTGCTCATTGTTTATTAAAAAGTTATAGATAAATGAAATTTTTTAATGCGAATCAAGATTCCGTATGGGTTTGCAACTTTCCACGCGAAACTAGGACGGACGGGCAGGGTGCGGGAGAGAGCCGAAGGCCCCCCTGTACCCCATCCCCCCATGTGTGTGTGTACATATGTTTAGTACTACTTTCATTTATTAAACATATGAATTTTTAGCACATATATTAGTGGTTATTACACAACAAAAATAACCACTAATACATGAGCTAAAAATTCATATGTTTAATAAATGAAAATGTCTCAATCATATGTACACACACACACACACACACACACGGGGGAGGTCCTAGTTTCGTGTGGAAAGTTGCAAACCCATTTCCTTCAGCATGTAGACGTGTGTTTTTCTTTCGATGTATAACCAGTACAAGAAAGGTAAATAAACATACCAAGCGAAGAATATAATACGTAAATAAATCTCTATGTACAGTATTGTATAATTATTTCCATAGAAGACACGTAGTACTTCAATACGTGGGCATTGTTCATTACACTTTTTTGTTAATAACTTTTTAATTAGCATCGACCGACAACTAAAATTTGTTGCATGTTACTAAGGGAGGATAGTAATAATAATATATGTGTGAATTATTGAAATCGGGGATGGCTTCCCTACTCTAAATAATTACCAGAAATTTATATGTGATACATTATGTATGTGTGTCACTTTTGATATTTTAACATTTCAAACAATTGCCAACATTTGCCACAATTTTGCACATCATGCATAGAGAACAAAACAATTTCATTTATTAAAAATAGCAAATAAAAAACAGTATTAATGGGTAATGCAATGGTCTAACGATCAAAATTTTGTAATTTACGCTCTCATACGGAATTAATAAAAAGGAAAAAGATCTCTCACGGCGACAACCGAGCAACCTGTGAATTCCTAATTGCAAATACGTGATTTGCTTCTGTTGACCTGACCGCAGCGAATCTCCTGAGAACCGCTGACACATCACGGCAGGCAGAGATTGTTTTCGTTGAAATGAAAAAACTTTCCCGTTAAACGTCTTACGTCTGTAATTTGCCGAAGGGTTTTCTCTCGACTGCTCGATATTAGTTCGCGGTGAGAGAAAAAGAGAAAGAGAGAACGAGAGCGAGCCACGTCAAAGGAAAAATTAACGTATGCCAATTGTACTCCGAGAGGGATTAATTATTCCGCGAGCCGCGTGCGGCTTGCAATTTTGACGATTTCCCATCATCGAAAATTAAGCGCTACCGCGTGTTGTTCGTAATAAAGCGCAATTACCGTAGGGAATTCGAAGCTTCCGATTCCTCGCGTCTGAATCTTCTTTTTAGCTCGAGCTACCCGTTTAATCGCACGCGCTGCGCCGCTACTCGAAAAAAAAAACACACACACGCACACACGCACGAAGTACGTACGAGGAATTAACTTACGCGGAATTACGCGTTTACTGCGCGCATTACGAGAGCTTTGCATACACGCGTTCGCTCATGCGCTTGCTCACAAACGCGACGCGGCGCGGCACGGAGCGGCGCGGCAAATCGCTTAACGCGCGCGTGTTTTGCGACGACTGACACAATTAATTTGTAAATTACACGAGCCGGAATGTAATCAGCCGATGTACCTGCCTCCAGTCGGCGTTCCCGCTGACTCCGCTCTGGATTGTCGGCTTATTGTATTTGCCGGCGAATTTACGCGCCGCGTTTGAAGTTCGCGCGCGCCGAATGTATCGCGCGCGCGTTTTCGAAGGGAAAACACACGCCCCGTTCGCCTCGCGTTCGCGCACGCTTTAGTTCGATTATTAACTAAATGGCGGAGTCATGCATTAAGCAGGCTAGATAGCCGTCATTGCCGAGATCTCCCGTGCTCGCCAGCGCTCGATCTTGATAACGTTGCCCGGCAACCAATTCGCACACAGCCGATGCGTAAAACCACGCATAAGAGAATTAATATGTAGCGCGAGGAAGGGAACGCAAAATTATATAATTTGATTAAATCGCTCGCGTAAAATAATAAACTCGAGGGATCGCGTATTATCGAGAGGTAATGGCGAATTTATCGAGTATACTTCGAGGTTCGCGACGCGAGAGAGGCTATAACCGCTAAAAATCTCCCTTGATAAGGCTATTCATCCGAGTAATTTTTCATTTAAAAAATGACGTCCGGTGAAAGAGTCACGGGGTAAGCCTTCGGATATAAAAATCTCCCCCTCGGCGTCTCTCGATTGTTCGATCTCCCCTCTCCCTCTCTCTCTCTCTCTCCCTCTCTCTCTCTCTCTCTCTCTCTCTCTCTCTCTCTCTCTCTCCCCCCTCCCACCTTCTTGTTGCTTTCAACTCAATTACCTTATCAGCTCGTTAACGTTAATCTCTCGCTCATGCTAGCAAATCGAACGCCTTAAGTTTGATAGCGGTACGCAAAACACGCCGGAGGAATTCCTGTTTCTATCGTCTCTCGGGCGAGAGAGGATATTCCCGAAAAACCGGTTAGAACCGTCCCAGTTTCGAAAGCAGTTAACTCGCATTTGACACGAACGGAGTCGAGGATAAAGAGAAGGAAAATAGGACGCGCGGGTGAGGGTTAATCTTGCCATTCGGCTCAGAGACGCGACGCAGACCTCCGGAAGGTCGCAAGAAAAACCGGATTAAAGTACGCGCGCGCGCATTCGATCCTCTCCGATTCAGGGCGCGAAGCTGCGCCGCCGGTCCGATTCTTTTATCCCAGGCTTGATATCGCGGTTTATGCATAGAAACGAGGCGAAGCCGCCGCCGCGCGCGTGGGAATTCCATCCTTTGCCGCGGAGGGATTCGCGCGCGGCAGCGCCAACCCCGTGACACAGTTAGTATATGTCTATTCCTGCGCCAAACTGTTTCCCCTTAGAGTGGTCCATATAGCGAATTGGCTGCTGCCCTTTATTTCTCGCCGTCGCCCACCCATCCCCTCAACCCTTCTTCCTTCTGCTCCTTCTTACAGTTTTCTTCTCGCGAGCGCGGCGGCACTGATATATGAATTGTAGCGGGGCTTAAAAGTATTCCAGACTGGAATTATGGATACGATATTATTTCTTCCGACGCGCGGGGAAAGGGGGGACAGCAACGCGACGACCGCGCGGCCGTCTATCGCGTTACTCCGCCGTGCAGGCACTTTCGCGGTTTTATTAAGTTGAAAGTCTCCCGAGCCGTGACGAAGTGCTCCGTCGCGCCGTGGCGGCTTTGTTTTTTCGAGAAGCCCGAATTGATTTATCCTCATTTATCTCTTCGTCGTCGCGCGCACGCTATCTCGGGACTGCCAAGCGACGAAGCCGACGTGAGACCACTTCTGAGGCGACTTGGGAAGCGCCGTTGGCTCGAAAACACGCGGATGCTGTTTCTTTCGTTACGCTCGCGTGTCGTTTTCTTTTATCCACGATTCCCCCGCTTGATATTGTTACCGATTTTATATTTCGGTGAATGATTAATCGCAATAAATTATCAAATGCTACTAGACGCGATAAGATTCAATTTGGGACGAGAACGAGTCGCGTAGTGACGAAGAGTTCATTCTAAATTGCTCGGAGAGAGCCGTAACGAAGTGAAAAGATCGTCGTTAGTCTCGAAACTCGCACCGTACAAGATCGCATTCCGTGACGGGATTTCGTTTTTCCGAAGCGACCGCGATTTACCACCCGTTAACGAGTAATTAAGGAAGATTATCGATAGCTCAGAGGTCGGTCAGAGCGAATGCAACATAAACAAAGAAAACGTAAAATCTCGGTGGGTACGTGCACGTGATGCGCATTTCTCATCCTGCCTGCTGCAACGCGCTAAACCTTTGTATTTCGTGCGTGTCCCAATATGCAATTATCTCAAATTGTCGCTATTGAAATTTCTATTATGGGGATAAATACGTTTGTGCGGCGCGACATAACAGCAGCGATTAACCGTGTACTCGTGCGTACTTTCTTTTTACCCTTTAAACCGTAATTTTAATGATTCTAATATAATTTATAGCTGAGTGAGTGCAAAAGTTTGGATGGTAAAAATATGGACCATTTCATTGAAAATGACTTAATCTCTCATTCTGCTGAATAATCGCCATTATTTTCTTTTATCTTTGGTATATTGTGCATCTACATTTACATATTCGCAAGTACTGCCACAAAACCGGATCAGTTACGACGGCTTTGAGAAACCCATTAGAACTTTTGTGCGCTCACCCGACAACCCGAACCTCACGGCTTAACTGAAAAACGCGGGCCGCCGCCCGTATCGCAAAGTACAAGGTATCACAAAAAAGCAATAAGACGAGGGAATATCGGCGTGCGACGGCCGCGCGCGATCGCAACATCCTTGTGCCTATTTCTCCCTTTTTCTCGCGGCGCAACCGGTTCTCTCACGAAGGGCGGGCTTTTTCATGCAAGTAGCAGCGGGACACCTCGCCGAAGCACCGTGTCATAATCGAATTGGGATTAACGCGATTCGCCTGGTCGGATAAAAATCGCGTTTAGACCAAGGGAGACATGAAAATGATAATAACGTACACTTCGTTATCGAATAAAACTCGTGCGAACGGTGTCGCTTCATCGCTGTACCCGACGTCCCTTTCATTAACGTAATTTGCCGCTCGATCGTTTAGCAAAAGGCCAGGAAGACGCTCCAGAAAGCCGAAGACGCAGAAAATCGTCCGGACGAACGAACAAGAGAGAAAGAAAGAGAGAGAGGGGGGGAGGGGGAGGGAGAGGGAGAGAGAGAGAGAAAGAGCACACATGCTCGGTCGACGATGTAACTCGCCTTGGCGAACCGGCACAAGTCGTGTAAAAGTACGAAGGTCCTCCGAGGACCGGTTTCAGGAAACTGCTCCGTATACATATATATGCGTGTGTGTATATATATTACACAGCTGTATATTATATATACCCGCTGCCGTGCAACCTCTTTCCTCGCACCCTCGAGACGCACCCGCACCTGTGCAGGTGCAACGTGAGCGAGCAGCATTCGTCATACCTGCGATTACAGGTCGGGTGAAATCAATTCCAGTCCTTACTGGATTCAAGTTGTAACCGTGTCGCGTTTCTTTTTCTTTTTCCATATTTCACGTATCGGTTCCTTTCTCTTCTTCGAAGCAAAAACTTCGGAAGAACACGTCAGCACGTTCATTTGCGCGGAAATCCGACCTTCGAGATGCTTTAATGAGATGCACGCAGGAAAATGAAATATAGCGATATGCGCCGTAATGCTCTCAACACGAGCAATTGAATCATCAAGTACTAATCAATTTTGCCGTTGACTAATCTCACTGCTAATTGCTTGCAATTAATAACATCGTATTGCTGAATGTAGCGTACGATGGCCGGATTTATTACGAGAATTAAGGGACAGAAATTTTTTTCTAGATATTACATGTGCAATCGCATAAACGCGATGTTTTCTCTCTCTCTCTCTCTCTCTCTCTCTCTCTCTCTCTCTCTCTCTCTCTCTTCCTCTTTTTGCTCTTCTAGGAAGTCGCAGAGCTATTGCGATAGCTAGTAGAAATGTATAATCGTTACCTTTAGCGATATAATCACTAAATGTATTTATCGACATACGGAATATCCGACTCTCTCTCTCTCTCTCTCTCTCTCTTTCTCTCCACGATATATCGCGTTGATTATTTGAATTTTAGATAAATCTCAAATCTCCCTTCTCGATTTCACGAGATTGGAGCGTAGTAAAAAGCGCCTGTTCGCGGGATGAACACTGGGTATTCCAAAACCCGAGGAAAATATGACCGCCGATACGCGGACAATGTAGACTCGAGCGTGTTTAAAAGGTCCATGATAACGGCGAGTAGGTACAACTGACGCCGTTGCACAATAACGCTGACAGAATCCCAGAAACGGCAACGAAACGCCAGCAGAGGAGCAGAGCGCGCAACGCGCGCATTAGAGGCGTGTACGTTTAAGAAGATAAGGACATTATGGCGGTTAATTATTACCTCGAGTGCATATCGCATTCGCTTTGGACTTTCTTGCGGCGCGAATTTAATTCAGAAGAATAAAAGGAAGTAAATTAGCAGGAATTCATTGCTTCAAATTATCGTTTTAACTGGTAAAAGCTGTCTTACACGATACATTTAAGCGCGATACATTAAGCCAAGAAAGTTCTTTGGCGAAAGTGTCACGAGAGTTGATTCTTCTTCTTTCGAGAAAATTTTCCACCTCGAAAATCGCCTTGCATCATCTTGCAATATTCAGCAATTGATATTTTAATAATCATACCGTAGATTATAAAATTTTCAAAGTAGAGACTGAATGATTACGGACAAATATAAATGAAGGAAAACCGTTGCTCCGATCGGAGAAATGTAATTTTCAACGATATCGGTCTGCAAGCATATTTAAGCGTTTGTAACTGCAAACCGATCGATACACGTTTCTCGATGAATAACAAGATCCGTCGTTAGTAGCAAGATTCAGAATGTAATTCTGCGCGCGACGTCGGCACATATGCACGATGTATTCAAAAAGTAATGTGTAAGCGATCCCTTCGAAGAAAAATTACCTTCCTAATGTTAAACATCCCGGGCCCAAGCTTCCTCGAAAATTTCTCTGAAGCACAATAATGAGTTGTGAAAAGTTGGCGAGGAATTTCATTATAGCCCCCTTTTCCCTTCGCCCCTCCCTCCACGCCCTTTTTCCCTAGCCCGATCCGTCGCAAATTTCTTCGGAAAATTTCTTTGTAGCAACGACGCCGCATAAATTCAGTTAGCTTCGTTTCTGTTCGCCTCGCGCCAATAGAAATTCTGCGAGGGCGGCGCGCTGGCGTAAAAGGGCCGATATTAGAAGCCAAAGTGCTACGGGAATCCTGCGTGACTCTGTACTTTTCTTCGGTAACTGCACCACGTCGGAGCATTTTTCTCAATTGACCGTCTCTCGTGAGAGTTTAATAGGGGCAATATAAAAGTTTCTCTCTATACGTCCGCCTGTCCGAGAAACACGATGACGCGCATTAGCGAGTATTGAAGGGAAAGGAGGAGATAAAGGCATGGAGAAGGAAGGGACTTTTCTTATTTAAGACTTTTTATTGGCAAACTTCCGATCGTCTTTAACGAGAAGTTGCGTAGGTATGTATGTGTACACGCGATATTTTGCATAATCCACTCATCACAGTTATCATTAATTTTGCGCCTCGTTAAATCTGATTACGTTAAATCTGATAACGTTGCGTGTCATCGCCCGATCGATCCTACCGATCCGCCCGGTCCAATCGATCTTCCATCCCGATTAATATTTCAAAAAGTGCGATATGTTTCTTCAAAATCTTTTATGTCATGAACACGTCGCGAACGAAGATTAATGACTTATGAAATATGATTTATCCTTTTTTTCTCCTTTTTTGAATTTCGACCAATTCTCGTGTTGCAGTTTCGATACGAGGGGAAGGGACAGCCTGGACCAAGGAAGCCACTGGCAGGATCAGAACCTGGAGAGACGCGCATTTTTCAAGCATTCCGAGAGCCCCGCGAAACTCACCCTAGAAAATGTTCGCGAAAGCGACGCGGCTGTTTACAGATGCAGAGTCGACTTCAAGCAGTCACCGACGCGCAACAGCAAAGTCAATCTAACGGTCATCAGTGAGTTCCCAAACGATATTTCGCATTGATCCGAAACGCGCTCGACAAGAAGGGGAGAATGTTCGCTTTCTTACTTCTTTGAGACGAGCGTGTACTTCTTCGAGCATGACCCTTCTTATTCCCCAAAATAGATATTTATGTTGCGTTCTAATAAAAACCGACGATTCCAAAGTTTCCGAGGTCAGCGATCACAAATCTCGTTTCGAAATTCAGCAACGCGTTGCGATTTTACTTTGTATGAAAAATAAGGGAAAACAATTTGCCAGAAGATTGCGACATAAAAAAGCGCGTTTGTTGTAAAAGAATTGCAGTATAGGGCGAAAAGTGCACTGTCGCGAATGAACAATTTCTAAAATCGGGTGTTTGTGAGGTATATCAAGAGCAGTGGAAGGGAGAGAAAGGAAGAGAGAAAATTGCAATTTATCGTACGGTGAAATTATATCGATCGATTCGACGTTGTTCGTGTTCCCCGTGCCGCTCCTAAATACGATCGACATCGTTACCGTGGAATCTCCGCGCCGCGGCGCGGCTATTCGGACGATCCTGGGCGCTCTCGAAAACAGTGCACCGTCTGCATTTAACGTCCTTTTTTCCTCGCGTCACGACGGGGTAACGTTTGCCTTAATGGAGAAACGGCTACGTGACCGTGGCCGATAATACCGGTTGGATAGACACCGAGCTCCGCCATATCGGCGCATTAAAGTTTATTTTTTATCTCGGATATAACGCACCAACTTAATGGTAAAGGCGGTACGTGACGTTGCAGGCTGATACATCGCCGTGAAAATTGATTCAGCCCGGATCGCGCGCGCGCGCGCGCGCGCGCTCTCTCTTCGTGCCGGCACTCGTACTGTCGGCCTTGCGGATATTAGCATTATTAGTGATCACGCGAATTCCCGCCTGCGCGCGCGATTAACGCCGGACACGAGTGTGAATCGACGCGAGAATCCGGCGCGAAACGTGAGGTTTCGACCCGGGAGGAAAATAAATGTGTTTCGCGCCGAAAAAGCGAATCGTTCGCTGAATTTCCGTCTTTCGGATTTTGGACTCGGTCACCTCCCTCCCACCCCCGTCCCCCGAAAAATAGTTTTCGCATAAATTCGGTATCGCTTTCCAGGTATCGCACCCTCTCTCTCTCTCTCTCTCTCTCGAAACGTCTTTTACGTCGCGGAATATACATTTTTCTTAATACCCAAGGGGTTTCCTGTCCGCCCTCGTCCGCTCGTCTCGCTCGGCGTTGCTAAATGGAAATTTCTTAACATCGTCGTAATGGTAACCGCGAGGCGTCTTCTTCGGTGACATTATAGGATTGATACATCGCTGCGCAAATTGATTCGCCCCCATCCCGTCTCCTCGTCGACATGTCACGGTCGCTTCGAATAAAAGGAAAATAAAAAGGAGAGGCGAGAACGAAGCGCGCGTTATATTCTCTTTCTCTCACTTATTGTGGAAAATTATTACAGTACCGCCGGAGCAACTTAGCATATTGGACGAAGACGGAGGGTCTCATATTCCCTATTACATCCTTGGCCCGTACACCGAGGGAGCGTCTCTCAATATCACGTGTGTCGCCGCCGGTGGTAAGTGCATGACGCGTCGGTGCACTCCCAGTGCATTCGCCTCGTATAACGTTCAACGTTGCCTCGACGTTGCGGCACTCTCTCCGGGCGTAACGCTCTTCGTAGCGAAACAAATGCGGCTCAATTTCTTTGATATTTCAGCCCCGCGCTATTCATTCGCGGTCTCGCGTTTTACACTTCGCCCGTACCGACGGGCGGATGACGAGGCGATCGAACGCGGTATCGACGAACGGCGACGCCAACGTGCCCGATGACGCGGCTACACGACGATGAAGTATCGCGACGCGATATTCTCTCGCGTACTAATCCGATAGGATTTTCGCCGAGCGAGAAAAATATGTTGCCCCGCGAGAGAACTTTTATTTCTTGCGTCTTGGAGAATTTTTGCCGGCAGCTCTGCCTGCGTTTCGATTGTACATTCATGATGAGCCGACCGTTCGGAGGACGTGAGACGCGATTTTACAAGTCGAGCGCGAGTGCTTGTCACGAGGCTGACGTTATTCTACGTGTTTCTCTATGTTTTATTCTGCCTTGATGTTTCTTTAGGCCGACCGCAACCACGAGTGACATGGTGGCAGGAGAATGCTCTACTAGACGACAGCTACGAGGCTGTCGGTACTAAAAGGGTCCGCAATGTGCTGCGATTGGAAAAGTTAGGCCGCGAGCATTTGCATGCGATTCTAACTTGCCAAGCTTCAAACAACAATATGGTGACGCCGATATCAAGTTCGGTGTCATTCGATATGAACTGTAAGCATCGACTTTCCGTGAAATGTCCCGTCGAAGAGGTCTCGTCGAAGAAAATTATGCAAAATCCTGACAAATCGTTAAATGAATCATTTGTACTCCAAACAATAGAGTCAATCTCCGATACTTTTCGAGAGTAGCTTTGTCATTCTGTCTCCTGAAATTTTTCTACGCTGACGTGCCACAACGTACTTTTACCCGTTCGCTCGATTAGTAATTGATTTTGTCTCACTCAATTGTCAGTCTAATATCCAGATAGGAGCTTGGAAAGAATCGCGTTTCGATTATTACATCCCACGGAGGCGACGGCAGTGAATTTAGTTATTACCGGCGAGATTTCTATAAGCCACACGACCGCGCGCACGCGGATCGATGGGTACTTAAATCTGAGTGTGACGCACTCTTTTGCAGTGAAACCACTCTGGGTCCGGATTCAAGGAGAAATCCGTCCATTTAGCGCTGGCAAGACCTACGAGATAGGTTGCGAGGTCGTCGGAGCCAGGCCGGAGCCCAAGATCACATGGTCCAAAGGGAACATGATACTGCGAAATGCGCGGCAGACGGTACGATTTAAAATAGATCGTCGTCGGCGATTCAATACACTCTCTTAAATCACACGACACGCGTTCATCCCGAGGACTCTCTCCAAGAGCACCTGCTATGCTACCTTTTCTTTTCTTTCTTTCTTTCTTTCTTTCTTTCTTTCTTTCTTTCTTTCTTTGACCTTCAGTCGCGAAAATGAAAAATGCGAGAACGAAATTAATAAAGTTGTTTCGAGCTGCACGATCGATTCGTCCGCATGAGATTTCAACGTTTCGACGTGACGGACAAGTTTATCATTGGCGAAGTAAAAATGAAGAAATAACTCGAAAAGTTAGTCCGGAATTTCCCTACAAATCAATGAGAGTAAAAATTTCGCGCAGTTTCTTATTTCCTCATCGTTTTTGCGACTTTGTCATTGAGGAGAAAACGTGTTTACTTCGGTAACTCTTGCGAAACTCGACTCGCGGAGAATATGTAGAGTCTTGTTACGGCGCGATTGAACATTTTTACAAATACGAGTTTTACATAAGCCAGATGCTAATCCGCAGTGCAATCATTGCCGTTCTGAGACTTTAATTCAGTCCGCCGCGCTACGCCGCGCTATTTCGATCTCGAGGAGCATGTACGCGTATAGCGATCATTAAATTGTTCAGTAAACTGTTTTACATTCATGAAATCTCATCAGCAGACGAGTCCCGACGGCAACACAACAACCAGCATCCTCACATTCGTGCCGAATATCGAAGACGCCGGAAAGTTCCTGTACTGTCGCGCCAGCGTGCCAGTTATTCCGGACTCGGAGATGGAGGATGGATGGAAGCTCAATATATACCGTAAGTGTTTTCGCAGAATCGTGTCGAGGTGTCCCGCAATATACGCGCGATACGCGCAGCGAAAATTTCCATTGATGTAATATTTTTACAAGCACGTTGTGTGTATGGACGTTGCGTGTGCGCGCAAGTATATGCACCGTAAAATTCGACATATATATATATATATGTATAAGGCACTCTGCGAGTGTCAAAATTCAAGACTCACCGACTCGTGTCGAGATGTAGCAGAAGCGTCGCACTACGCGGTTACTACGCAGATCTGCAACGGAAAGATATAATTTTGCCGATTAGATTTATGGTTCGCTTCTCTTTAAGAGTCCTGGCCCATTACGATCGCAAGAGTCGTTACAACAACCGTACTTCGACCTCCACCGCGATAGGGTCAGTGTAGAAGTACAGACAGTCCGCGAACTCACCGTCGAGTTGACCCGGCCTGACCCGAACCGGATCCTCCGGTACCGCTTCTGCTATCCACCCAGACCGCATCTTCCGCTACTGGCACTGTCAGATCTGTAACGAAACACAATTTTCCCAATTAGTCTCGATGATGGAGAAGTTACGCGCTCTAAATGAATATTAGGGAATATTCTGACTGTATGCTTTCGTTGAGATCAATTGATGTGGAATACGATAGTTACCTTACGCTTCTTGTGTTGCTGCCGCTGCTCAAGATGATGTAAGGACAAAGATGATGCGCGATGTTGCTTCAAGGTCCCTTCTCGTCCGTGGCCGCAACTAAAATGAACGATCGCTTTTGCTCATCGCATACTTATATATGTTGTTATCGTATGAAGGCCGCACGATCTTGGTACGAGACGCGAGAAATCACGCGCGTTCCTGGCAACATCAACAAACGCGAGACAAACGAGCGCAAGTCAAGTAACAGTATCGAAGAAATAATGTATTAATTCTGTTTTTCTTTTCGACTCGATTTGGCGCGTAAAGCAGTGGCACATATGCAACAACGAGAATATTCGCAAGCGAACCAACCAATCGCAGTCGAGGATCTCAATATGACCGTTGACGTTACCAATCGTGATTGCCTGATTTTCGTTTATATCTTGTTGTTTATCATTTTCCACATTTATTTCTGCACGATTCCGAGCGACTCGGAAGACACGAAAATAACGCGCACTCAGATGTACAATAAAATATAACTTCTCCAGTAAATCGCAATGATTGGGAGATTACGCGTTCGAGATGGTTCTCTTATTGAATTGCAATCGAATGATCGAGAGGTTATGTGGTCTAGATGATTCGAAAATATAGCTATTTTGACTGTATTTCTTCGCAGAGATTAATAAACATGCAATACGATAATTGCTTTATGCATTCACTCGCTGCCGCTACTTACAATGACATCAGGACGACGATGAAAGACAATCAGGACTCTCAGCGTCACGTCCGTTCGTTTTCGCCCGTAGCTGCGACAAAAATGGACGACCGTTTTCGTATATCGCAGATACGTATGTATCGTCTCGGAGTCGCGCGATCTAAATGTGAAACGCAAAGAATCACGCGCGATCTTCGCAATGCGAACTTTCGCGATAAACGCGAGGTGCATGAACGTGAATCAGGCACTCGAAAATAATATATTAATTTCGTCTTTCTTTTCGAGTCAATTTGGCGCGTAAAGCAGTGGCACATATGCAACGACGAGAATATTCGCAAGCGAACCAACCAATCACAGTCGAGGATCTCAATATGACCGTTGACGTTACCAATCGTGATTGGCCGATTCCCGTTTATATCTTGTTCTTTATCATTTTCCGCATTTATTTCTGCACGATTCCGAGCGACTCGGAAGACACGAAAATAACGCGCACTCAGATGTACAATAAAATATAACTTCTCCAGTAAATCGCAATGATTGGGAGATTACGCGTTCGAAATGGTCCTCTTATTGAGTTGCAATCGAATGATCGAGAGGTTATGTGGTCTAGATGATTCGAAAATATAGCTATTTTGACTGTATTTCTTCGCAGAGATTAATAAACATGCAATACGATAATTGCTTTATGCATTCGCTCGCTGCCGCTACTCACAATGACATCAGGACGACGATGAAAGACAATCAGGACGCTCAGCGTCACGTCCGTTCGTTTTCGCCCGTAGCTGCGACAAAAATGGACGACCGTTTTCATACATCGCAGATACGTATGTATCGTCCCGGAGTCGCGCGATCTAAATGTGAAACGCAAAGAATCACGCGCGATCTTCGCAATGCGAACTTTCGCGATAAACGCGAGGTGCATGAACGTAAATCAGGCATTCGAAGAAATAATGTATTAATTTCGTTTTTCTTTTCGAGTCGATTTGGCGCGTAAAGCAGTGGCACATATGCAACGACGAGAATATTCGCAAGCGGATCGGCCAATCACAATCGAGAAAATCTCAACATGGCCGCTTTACATTATCAATCGATATCGATCGATTCACGATAAATCGCGATTCGATTATTGAATCAGAAAGAGAGTAATCAACTCTCTTTGGTCATTTTGCTCACTGTTCAAGTACTACCGAAGTGTTTTTCGTGCGCTCCCGTTCTTGTCGCATTTAACACTTACGTTTTCCATACATCGGTGGCCCTTACATCTTCGACAATGATCCGCGACATGAATTCGGTGTCCCTTACCTCTCTCATTTACCAGCGCATGAAAGAGATCGACCGATGCCGTCCGACGAGGTGAGTCGCGTCGACAACGCTCTCGGCGTCGTAGTTCAAATTGCACCCCCGGTGCAACTTTCGCTCGTGCGGCATTAATACATAAAAGTTGCAGCGCACGAATCGCCACGGCACGACGTGGACGCCGTGCTGCTGCAGCGAGCCGGGATTAACGCCGTGATTTTACTGTCCAATATAAAAGTTTTTACCTAGCCGGCATAGGGGGGGAGAGAGAGAGAGAGAGAGAGAGAGAGAGAGAGAGAGGGAGAGGGAGAGAGAGAGAGAAAGAAGATTGGAAGATAGAGAGAGAAAGAGAGCAAAAGCTCCGCGTTGAAATTAATGGCACATGCCGATCCGCCGCCACCACCGTCACCGCGATCGCTAGCGCTGCCTGCCGGATTGGGAGATCCAACCCGATTTCGCGGCGGGTTTCCACTGCTTCGACTACCTTGGCAGCCCCATTTCCTCGTCTTTCCGTGGATTTTTTCCATTAGTCGCGCCCGCCGGTAATTCCGCGAGCCGGGGCGGGGCCGGGTGCGACGAGGGAAATTTACTCGTTTATTGCGAGCGCGAATCGCGAAACGGCGGAATTATCGGATTCGCTCGCGCGCGTGCGCGCGGCGTTCTGCGGCGAGAAGAATCATAAGTAATGTTCGATACGGCTGGTATTTTTTTCACGGAGATAATACCGCGGGGCCGGCGCTGGAGGACGCTCTTTCAATGAGAAAATGCGGCAGCGCTCGATTGCGGTTGACCATTTATTTACGATTTAGGAGGACGTGCGACGGTAAGCGCCTTGAGCGGAGAAGCCATATGGCTGTAAAAATCGTATTATCATATATCGGGTATTATATATCGATAGAATATCGAAGCTCCAATTGTCTTCGCATCCGAGTATTTTGACTTCATCTCCATTGTAGCCTAATCTAACCTAAGCGCCCCTATCGCATCCGAGAGTACTCCATTTCTCCCTCACCTCTTCCCCCCCCTCTCTCTCTCTCTCTCTCTCTCTCTCTCTCTCTCTCTCTTTTTACCTCAATATTCAAACATTCATAGCGTTAATTACCGTGTTCGTAATTAAAGCGGTATTTCTCATATTGGTATATCTCACTCACAGCTTTGATGTCGATTCTGTTTTCAGACGAGCCTGTGGTTACCCTCGAGCTTGGCAGCAATTTGAATTCGAGCGCTATTCGGGAAGGTATCGACGTTTACTTCGAGTGCAACATCAAGTCCAATCCCTGGGTTTACAAGGTTTCCTGGCGCCATAACGTGAGTCCACACTCCTCTCTACCGAGCGCCTCGAGAAGGCGGATAACGAATCCGGTTCAGAAATCGATAATATAAGCCAACGGAGCTTAATCGCGTTGAGATAAGGGAACGGCGGCAACGCGCACCTGCGACACACGAACTTCCTTCCGTCCGAAAACTCGCGCCCGTTTGATCTTGGATTCGTATCGCCGAGACGCGACGCGACGCGACGCGACGCGAGGCGGCGTATAAAGCGGACTTTCCTCAAATAGTAATTAACCCTCGGAGAGAGCGCGGTGAGATTTTCTCCTCGAGATTTCGTTCCCCGCGAAGAGTCGTGTAATTTGCGCTGTTTCTCTTGCTTGAGAAATCTACCACTTTGTCTCGAGAACGGCGCAAAGAATTTTTGATGAAGGTACTTGAAATTATTTATATTTTGTTGATATAATTTTCTCTCCCTCTCTCTTTTTTCCTCTCTTTCATTCGCTATTTCGCTATTTCGCTCCACAAGTTAAGAAATAAAAAATGTCACCGGAAATCCTAGTAGATTTTGATCCTATAAAAATTAATTGGCGAAAGAAAAAAGAAGAGAAAATGAAGTACAGAAAATGGAACGAGGACGAAAATATTACGCATATAAAATAATTTCCTCTTGTCGATGTTAGAAATAATTCGTGCTTTTGATATTACATTCGCACAATGCGATTCACGCATACGCGAGTATACGCGAGCATTAATCCATTAGGATTGCGTGCTCAAATTTATTCTAAGCCTTTGAATCCATATACCATGTTTTTCTTCGTTATTAAAATAATTGGTGTGATTAATGGTGGATGGTAATCGTGACGCTGATCGGACAGCATGTATATAAATCGGGGCTTTTTATCAACGATTAATCAGGACGCGATTGCGATTTGTCACTGTCTCCGAATGTATTTTAATCTCTTCACTCATAGAACGTTTTGCTTTTTATCGATAATAAAATTATACGCGCAATTGATTCGGATCTGATTCGGAGCGTAGCATGAATCACGCGTATAAATCAAAATATTTTCCCTTTCGTAATTAAACGATCGGGAAGCGATTGCTCTCGATCACCGAATTTATTTCAATCCTATGGAACGGGGCATATTTTCTTTTGTACAACTATCGGAACGCAGACGCATTTACAATATTTAAAAGATAAGCTTACCGCGCGCGCGCGCGCGCGCGCACACACACACACACACACACACACACACACACATCGTGTATATGCATGCGTATGTTTCACCGGGTCAAATTTTTCAGGCATGCCCTTTAACTTTTTGGTATTCTTCGAACTTCGATATCCGTTCGAGCCAATCTCGTGACTCTTGTCACAAACGAAAGTCGTACATGCGGAAACACCGGAGAAAACGCAAATCCCAATCAATTTCCTCGATTCGCGGACTCCAAATTTGTTTCGCGAAAACTCAAAGCCGCTTTCGCGACCTCGAAAGTCGCACGTGCGACGAGGGAACGCGCTAGATCGAGAAACTGTCAACGCTCCTCGTCGTGAATTTTTCACGCGAGATTTATTATCGCTTAATGCTCTCGCGTACGCGTACGCAAAAAAAGAAAAAAAGAAAAACATGAACATCTATTTGCACGTTTTCCGGTATTAATATCGCGCAAACGAGAAATGCATAACATCGATGCATATCCACGTTTGTAATGCCGTTTCTCGTTTATTCATTAATATTTGCCATTAGTCTTGTAATCTTCTTTTTTTACGTTGTCACCGTAATCACTGAAAATTTCACCTCGCGACATTAATCCGTGAAAAAAAAACTTCAGATTGCAAACAAAACTGTGTTTTTCAGAAAAATTTAAATACCAATTAATTCTGACTGACATGAGCCGCGCGAGGATAATAATGTCGGCGATCCTTCGGATTATGTTTATCGTCGAAAAGAATGATCCCGTCCCTCGAAACGGCTTGTTTTCGTCATGACAGTTTCGGAATCGAATTGGACAATCAACCCTCGTTCAAACGATCCTCTGGCGCTCGCGCGAGACACTTCGGACTTTTTAATTTTCGGGCTTGCCGAAGTTCCTTTGTAGGGGCTTAAATAATCTATTACTCGTGCGCCGGATTCCCGATGCGAGTTTGTTCGCACAGACAGCTAAGTAAACACATGGCCTCGTTTGATTTCGCATCCACAGGGCAACCCGCTGTATCACAACGCGGCGACCGGAACGATAATAAGTAATCAGAGCCTGGTGCTGCAGAGCGTCACTCGCAGCAGAGCTGGGATTTACACGTGCATCGGTAATAATCAAGAGGGCGACGGCGAGAGCAATCCGCTGAACTTGGACATAAAGTGTGAGTATCCGTTACATACATTTCCAGCATGTCATCCGCCATAATCTACATTGACGTTCTAATTAAGTCCGTCCCCACTGGCGGCTTAGCGTTCGACGTAACGCAGGAATCCGTGATTACTTTCGGACGCAACATCGTCTTTATCATTTGAGACGATCAGCGAGGGACGTTCTATTTTCTCGTGAGACACTTTCTGCGACTCCTTTCTCAATATTTTTGGTCGTCGAAAAAATATACGCAATCGAAAGAGGGAGAGAGGGACACGTTTTCCCTCCTTTTCTCCCTCTCTCTGCTTCTGTCTCTTATTTTAGAATTTCCAGCGCAATTCTCTCGGGGCTTGTATTTTTTTCAGCGTCCTATTTTCTTGCTGACGAGAAAATGATCGTCGCGTCTTGGAAAAATAAGAAATACGTCGCGCAATTCTGCGGATCTAAAGTTTCTAAAGTCCGGGCGCTGGAGTTAATTTCTGTGTCACTGCATTCGCAACGCTGACACGTAACTAATACTGACGCACCGGTATGCGCGCGGATCGACGTTAAATCAGCTTAGGAGTCAGCTTTGTTTACGAGGGACATAAATCCGGCGCGCAGGAGGAAACGTCCGCGCATTCGAAGCGCGCGCGCGCGCTCACTTGCTCGCTCGCTCACGGCGAGATCTCCGCTTCATATCGACGTTTAATATCTCGGGATCGCGCACTATAAAAGAAAACAGGCTTTCATAAAGGCTCGCTCTCTGCCGAGAAGCAACCGTAACGGGCGGCCGTAAGTCAATTTCATATGCATGCATTAACCTAAACACTATAAGCAACTTTTGACAGGTCTTTCGGCATGTTGTAAAAAAGATTACAAGCCCAATATTAGTTTCGGGCGTTATGAGTTATAAAAGTCGAGATTCATTCGCGAGTGTAACAGCGTGACGTTCACACTCGATGCGATTAAGTTGAAAGCTCGTATGAGCGATAAATACGCCGACGATAAAGATATTGTAATATTTCCTCCTCATTGTCGCGCATCTTTAATTGAACACTCTGTTTCCGCGCGTACTTTCTTTCTTCACGAAGAATGTGCGCGTTTTGTCGTCGGCACAAAGTGAAGGCCATTCGTAAGGCGTGTATTTCACGGCTGTTCCTATAGCCGGCACTCGATAATAAAGCAACGGAGAAACCTCCGCGGTGAAAAAATATTGCCGTTTTCGCCACTGTCTCGATGTTCTATGAAGCTAGTATGAATTTATTACGATGATGTACGCGGTCCTTTTCTACGCATTTTATCCATGTAGAGTGTCTTACATCGTGTAGGGTTCAGTGAACGTTAAATCATTCCGCGGGATGCTTTGCATACGCAGGAGCACATGTGCGCACGCACACACGCACACACATACGCGGCTGACAGGCGCTACCTTAAGTCTCTGCGTGTGGCTTATGACCGACTGACTGACATTTGCCACCGTTCTCGTACGCCATCTGTGCTCATTAGTATTTGATGACTTTAATACGCATAAATTATTCGTTACTAATCCGCGCGCGGATCAATCGTCGGATCAGTCGAGGTATCTCAGTCTCATTCGCTTGATTATCCGTGTGTGTATACAAGATGTTCGTTAATAAATTCATTTAATAAACAAGCCGGTAATATTCATAGCTTGCAAAGGCTACTGTAATTTAATTATTCGTTCCACTGTAAAATCTTTTGTCGTGGTTTCTCTGCAGCTTTGATATAAAATATCGCGCCTGTATAATCCAGCCTGAAGTCATTTTAACAAACGCGTTCAACATAAAAAGACAATCTGAAATTACAGCGAAGCATGTTGGATCATGATTATTGGATTTTTTTATCGTTTTATCCTCTTTTGTGCAGACGCGGTATCAATGCAAAGACCGCTTTTATCATTCAATTGCGGTCACCAGATGTGTCTCTTCTCAGCTAAAGCTTTGACCGAGATCGCCGCGTGTCGTCTCTCTCGCTAATCTTCTTTTCTATGCCCCTCCATTGAAATAGCATTACATTGAAATAAATTTTACTGTTACAGAGTGATATCAGTAAAAATGTCGAGCGTGACGCGCGTCATCGAGCCGTATTTCACGAATATTTCGCCATGAATTCGCCCCGTGTGTGTGTGTGTGTGTGTGTGTGTGTGTGTGTGTGTGTGTACACGTGCGCTCGCGCGCTCGCGCTCTCCCCTCATTGGGACTCTCGAGTAAAAACTACGTGAAATTTCGCGTAATTATACTCGCGATTATGTTGGTTTTAATAACCCTTTTGGTAAGCTAAACGACCGAGTCTCGTGAACGTCGAATGTTCCCGTATAATCCGTATTTTCTTTGTTCCCTCAGGCTGCAGCCTCGCTATTTTACAGCTAACTAAGCGGCTTAAGATCTCGGATACGGCAGAGCTCGAAGAAGGAGCTTCTTGCCGCGCGCATAATTATACGTACTGAAACTGAATTAAAATCTTAAGCGTTTCGCGTTACCCCGCTGGTGCACACAAATTCGCAGATTTTCCGGGGCGAAGCCTCTCTCCCTCCCTCCCTCTCTCTCTCTCTCTCTCTCTCTCTCTCTCTCTCTCTCTCTCTCTCTCTCTCTCTCTCTCTCTCTCTCTCTCTCTCTCTTTCCCCCCTCCCTTGCATTGCCCATTTAAGACCTGAAATAGATCTCGAATCACATTTACGCGTTATATATTTATGTAACGCATCATTTTTTAAGTATGCCGCGCTGCGAACGCGCTTACGGATATCTCTATTGAGTAATCAGTATAACTCACATGAAAGAAATATGTACGTATTACGTACGTGTATCTTGCAAATTCTAATTCGCTGGAAATACATATATTAAGCTTTTAATGTAGCAAATCTTCTCATGCATCTCTGCTTCGGATATATCAGCGAGAAAAATATCAGGGCGAGGTCTTTGAAAATTCTGGATATTCGTGCTCTCTAGACGTATACATACGCGTGCAAAGCTTGCTTAAAATTTCACAAGCCCGCAATGCGTCTCGACGTCTAACGCGATCACGTCTAACATTTCCGAGATACCCCTCATACAAATCGATATCGGATCAAGGAGGATGGCTCGTAGCCTCGCGCAGCTACTGCTGCCGCTCCATTTTCTTCATGTAATTGCACGTCGCGCAAAGAGTACATGTCTCGTGCGAATTACAAGACGAGCATCGCCGTAATAACCTGCAATTAGATACGTCGAGCCGAAAAATTCCGCCAGTCAACCGCTCGTCAGCGTTAACGTTGGTCTTAATCGGTGGTTGGTTTAATCGGCTCTTGGAATGTTGCGAGCACGAAGAACGATTATAATAATTAGCTGACAACGAACGCTCGACGGTTTGGGCTTACGCGCGCAAGTTGATGTCAACGTATTTAAAATTACGCTGAAAAAATATATATGGGATATCTCGGTTATTTTTTTTTCTTGCGGTTTTTTTCTTGCCGTATCCGAATGTGAAGTCAACGTATTTTTCTTCTCTTTTGAAAATGAGCGTCTTATTCTCTTGATCTCGTCACTCACTCACTCTCGTCAAGCTCGATTGCGGCGATAAGCAGCGATATCTCTGCTCTATTTTTGCAAGTTCTCCGCACTTCCTGGGATTTTTCAATCTTCTTCAAGTTACCCCGTAGATCAGTCTTCTCGTGTAGCAACATCGTACGACGCGGTTTCGCAGAATGAATGTGATATAAACATGCGATCCTTCGGCTGACGCTGTCACGCGCAAAGTAATACAGGTCGCTTAAGCAGAAATTGCGCGATTAATGCTTAATTACACGACGCGGTAATTTCGCGCGGGACTACCGCACTTTTATCACACGAACTCTATCTTTCTCTCGCTCGCTGTGCGCGAGTCCGTAATACATAAAACCCTAAACACCCTCATTTAATGCTGGTAAATAATAAATCGAATGATTAAAAATACACGTAGCAACGGCAGGCGCGAGATTTACTTTTCATTAGAGAAATTCGGTAATCTCGTTTTTCTCGGTTTCTAATTCTTTTAATTTCTTCATCTTCGATTCGAGTCTAAAATCGATATCGAATAATTTGAAATGAAACGGGGTCGATGAGAGAGAAATCCAATAACACTATGCGACGTATAATATGAAACCAATGATACAGTTATAACGATACCGTAATTGATATTTAGAAACTCAGGTAACAGAGTGGTGGGGAGGGAGGTAGAAATGATTCGTAGGGAGATCTGTCAGAACGAATTACGGGTAAGAGCGAATCTGAAACCGATCGCGACGCTCCAGATTAATCTTATAATAAGAAGAAGAAAGGAAAACAGAAGAGAGTGGAACGTGTGGAGAATTGAATTTCCGTAAGTTCCTGGCGTTTTATTCGGCGCGACAACAAAATCGTGCGCCGATTTACAACTGACTTCGCCGCGGTCCGCCACGACCGTCGGCGGCAAGTAGATACATATACGTCATCGGTCAGCCAGCGCGCGTTATCGGCGCGCAATACGCGCGCTCTCGCGGAATTCGTTTCGCTAACTTTAGATTCCGCTCGTGTAATTTAATTACGACAGACGGGCGGCGCAAACTAGAATGCCGCTGTTACTGCTGCCACCGTCGCCGCCGCCGCCGCCGCCACCCGGATGAAATATGTCAATGAATTTATCGCGGCCGCCGGCCGGACATTTATTCGTGCTGCAAAAGTGAATTCGATTTCTCGCCGGGGCGTTTTGATTTATTCGCCGTGATAGATTGGATAGATTATGTAGTCGCGCGTAAAAAGCCGAGCCAAGACGTCGCCCGGGTGGCGCGAGCGATCGATCGATCGCACGTCACCCATCTGTAATCCTTAACAATATTGCTCGCTAGAACGTTTAGAGGATTCTATCGTAAAATTGTGCGCACCGAGTTCCTCGGGACTGCTCATGCTTTCGAGGGGGAAAGAGAGATAAAGAAAGATAGAGAGAGGGGGAGTGAAAGAGATCTTTTCGGAGATAGTCATCGCGTATCGAGAACACAGCCGTCGTACAGAGACAGCTGGTACACGACGATTAATAATTGCCTCATCGAAGATCGATCGATAGGTATGGCTCGATTGCGGCGTGTAACCGACTTCATTAATACGCCACATTCTCTAATCAACATATCTAATTAAGATGAAATCCTCCGTGGCACTCTTAGGCCTCTCGACGTTCAAGTCTCTCTCTCTCTCTCTCTCTCTCTCTCTCTCTCTCTCTCTCTCTCTCTCTCTCTCTCTCTCTCTCTCTCTCTCTCTCTCTCTCTCTCTCTCTCTCTCTCTCTCTCTGTCTCTCTCTCTCTCCTTTTTGCTGGAACATTACGCCTTATCTGACAATGTATCACTGTATCATACGATATCCATCGTGTGCGATATACACACGAGATACAATTCTCGATAACCTCGTCGAAGATCTATCGATCAGCCGATAGTTGGAACACACGCGTACTGCGTGGTCGCGCATCTAACTAGGTCCATTAACGCCAGCTAATTAATGTATCTGATTAAGCAAGGCATCGACGCACATGTATCATCTCAAGTCCCGACCACGCTCGATCCATATAATATCTCGTATCTAGATAGTTGTGTTGCTTGCATAAACTATGCGGCGGCGTACATCGTCGCCACGACGCGGGCATAAATCTTCGTTATTTGACATAATGGCCACTCGCGCGGCCTCATACACCGTAGATTATTATTATTATAAATTCTCCGGACGCACGCACGCACACACGCACGCACACACACGCGCACGCACGTACGCATGCACGCATCCGTGTCGCAACATTCTTACGAATTTCAGCGCCGGATGATGTACGCTCGGCGCCGGGCCGCTTCTCTCCGCTCCGTGTCGCGCGTCGACGCGACGCAACGTCGCCCGATCGACGAAGATTCATGACGCGAATGCCGCAAACATAAAATAATATGCTGAGCCTTGTAATACGCTATCGGTCTGTATAGGATGTTCCAGGACTAATGTACCGTTAAATCTCCCGAGGAATCTGTCACCGGCAGGATATCCGATAATTCTTGGGTCGACGTTGTTTCCCCTCTCCCCCCCTTCCGTCGATGTTCCACGGGCGTACTCTCTCTCTCTCTCTCTCTCTCGTTGTCGGACGTTCCGCGAGACTTTAACGAGCTATCGAGCGTAACTTAATGTTACGCTTTCTGTTAAAAGCGCGGAGAAATTACCGTAACTAGTGCGCTACAGCGCTCGCCTAATGAGAAAACGCCTCTCGTTCTCGGTCGAGTAAATTACGTGTATCGTATTTGGACAGCACTCCTGCTCGCTTTGGGCGTTTTACTCGAGATTTGTCTCGTACACTCTGTCGGAAAAATATCCCCGGAGGGACATGCTTTATACAATGCATACACACGCGCGCGCGCATGTTTTAGGAGATAATTTTCTTCGCGTATATAATCGAGACAGATCGCGCGCTCCGGGATGAAATGAAAAAAGCGAAGCAATCCGCATTCGCTTCTAAGCGTACCGTTTGCGCGACAGATCGACGTGCATTTTTCACGACGCGGCCGGTATTGCGGTCCGTTGAATTATGCATACGCCGGGTCAGATATCATTTCGATAGCCGGCACGGACGCTCAGCGTGAGCGATCTGTCACTGATGCTTAATGACCGGCATTAATTGGTTATTGTCAGTGCCTCGGCCATCGATCGCGATGTTGTCCGGTATCGAGGCGATATCGCGGCACATTCGAAGCGCTCCGTGAAGCGCTCATCGTTCGCCGGGAATAGCTCTCGTTGGCGCACGAAGAGAGAGAGAGAGAGAGAGAGAGAGAGAGAGAGAGAGAGGGTGTTGAGAAGGGGGGAAAAGGATTCGACGCTGACCAAGGATCGTTCGGGGTACGACCTCCGCTTACCCCAGAAACGCGACTCGATTCGATTCTTAAAAACGGCGGGAGAGAGCACATGCTGACCGCGTGCGCTCTTCGCACGCGCATCGTCGGGCTTGACCTTTATCGACGATATCGGCGTAAGAAGCCGCATTTCGCATTCGCGACGTTGCGCGAGCACGTTTCCTCGATGGCGCGGCTCTTTTCGGCAATTCCCGGCTTTGTCGACGGAATTCCCCCAGTCCTCCTCGGCCTTCAGCTCGGCTCCGTCGCGTCGAAACGACGACGACGGCTTGACCCGGAAAATCGACTACGTATGTTATTTAATCGATCGTTCATAGGACGCTCATCGTTCGCTCGCTTCTCTCGCGACGCGAGCATTTGCATGCGCGCGGAAACGCGCACGGAGCGCCGCTCCGTTTCGTTGTAAAACGCGAGCGATCGTACGACCGCGTCGGTGCAGCTCGTAGCGCAGCTCTGCAGAAAGCGTGAGAGCAAGAGAGGAGGCAGGGCAAGAGAGAGTTCCGTGACCTTTATTGCAACCTTATGACATCCCTAAGATATCTTTCGACGACCACCATAAGGGGACAAAAGGGTTGGTCTCCGTATATCCCGGTGCGCGACGGTTGGCCTCGGCGAAACGCGCTTCCCGAGATTCCAGACATCGCCGGAGGATCGGACTTCTTTCGACAACTGTGCAAAGTACAAAGGGAGATGCAATACGCGGGGGCACCGGATACCGTTCGGAATTTTATGACTGATCTAATCAATGAAGGGTCAGTCTCTATATGTGTGCCGGATATCCCGCATGCTCTCTACGGCTCTCCACTTCCACGTCCAAAGTATTATTGAATTTCCAGACGGGGCGGACTAGACTTCCGCCCCTGAGTCGAGGTCGCAGGGGTCGCATCCTTTGTCAGCTTACTCCGAATATCTTCTTTCGTTCGTGGGAGTGAATGTCAATTGCAGAAACTGCTGGGGGATAACGATCGAGCCGCGGGCCTCGGGGGGTGTAAACGTGTTCCGGATCCGCGCTCGCGCGGACGCAACTGTTTTAATTACAAGGTCAACGACGACGATCTTCCCCGCGTTTACACCGTGAGATATCTCCTTGTCTCAAGCAAATCGCTCTCGTCTTATCGGCTCAACGAAGAGAGAGAAAAGGAGAGAGACGTTATACCGGTCGCGATACTGATCGGCGCGACCGGCGGTTGCTACGAACGCTACGACGAATGGGATCGAAGTTGCACAACGAAGATGTTTTACGCTCCGCTGATATACGGGCAAAGTTGACATCTCGGCGTGAGATATAAACTTCTACTCGTCGTTGTATCTCCATATTGCGGTGGATGCGCCGCCGAGGGACGTTAAAGCGCAATTTCTACGCTCGGCAAGATGTCTTAAGCGTACTTATGCAGTTTCTTCGCTCGCGGGCCGCGGTCGCGAGAGCACTTGGCGGAGTACTTGCGAGAATACGCGTGTCGGTGGCCGCTTTCTTCTTCGTCCCGGCGTAAAAAGTCGGCGTGCCGCGGGTCGCGCCGCGGGAGGCTTATTTTCCTACCGAGTGGCCCGGCCGCGGTGTTTGCGATGCCGCGACTTTAAGTCGCTGTGAATTGTAAAACAACACATTAGCCGTTTCCTTCCTTTCCAGGACGAAATATAACGGGGGGAAAACGTCGTTCGAGAGCATACGGGCGAATGCCCCCCCACTCGTGTTTGAACAATGAAGACACGCTCTACTAATGGCGCACTGTTGCAATATGTAAATTACGACATATCTGCACACACACACGCACACACACACACACACGTATATTACATATTATGTATATTACGGCGATATCAGATACCGTGTCGACTGAGGTTGATATGAACTCGGGAATGATGCGGCGACATGAATTCCATCGTTAATGCTTAATTACGGTTAGTGCTTAATAATCGCATTAGCCTTCGGCGGATATCAGGTTTCGCGTGTCCGCGTGTAAACCAGCGACTGCACGAGTTCCTGTTCGCGGCATTGCGCATCGGGCACAAGGCTCAATTGCGAAATAATCAGCGATCGTCTTTTTCTCAATTTCAACGATTCCTCGATTTGTTGTTTATCAGCTCAACGAGCGAGATCCCTTCGCAGCGATGGGTCGCCCAAATCGCTCGCTCTTTTGTCACTGTGACCCTCGCTGTTCGTAATCGACGAAATGACGTACGTCAGGTGCACAGGCCGCATAGGCCGCATACTGCCTTTGTCTAATTAGCCGCTCGATCATTAAGCTTTGATAATTGGAATATGCGGCATGTCATGGAGAGGCGCGGAACGGCGGGTGCCGGGCGAAACCGAGCGTCTCGATGCCTTACACTGCCGACTAACTAACGCAATGTGTAACGCCGGGATGATCGCGCTAATCGCGCGAGTCCGCGAACGAGCCGTTCGCAAAATAGTCATTCCGACAGGCTCGCTCGCTCGTTCGCGTTCATGCGCTCGCAACAGGGTCACAGGCTTGTTCTCACCGCGCGAACCAACATTTACATTTCCAGTCGTGCCGGTGTGCCAACACGGCCAGACGAAGGTATTCGGCGTCGCGCGGCAGGAGACCGCGAGCATCCCCTGCGAGCTGGAGGCGAACCCGCCGGAAGTATCGTTCACCTGGAAATTCAATAATACAATGGAGGCAGTGGACATACCTCAGGCACACGTCACGAGCGACCGTACACGCTCGATAGCCTCCTACACACCGATGACCGAGTTGGACTATGGCACTCTCCTTTGCTGGGGCAGCAATGACCAGGGCACTCAGCTCGAGCCCTGCGTCTACCATATCGTACCCGCTGGTAAGTGCTTTGACACAAACACACTGACACGTACGTGTCACGTACCCCCCACACACGGGGGGCCCTACGTGCCTACGCGCGCGCGCGCGCACGCACGTACGGCACGATCCTCCGAGTTTTTGAAAAATTACCTCGCGAATCGTACGTTCTCTGCCCGACGTCTTCTGCCGCGACGCACACGCGAGATCTCTCTCTCTCTCTCTCTCTCTCTCTCTCTCTCTCTCTCTCTTTTCCGGCTGATCTATTTCTCGAGAGACACTCCCCGCGATCTTTCTCACTCTCGCGTTTGGGCCCGAACACGTTTGCGGCTACGCACTCTTGTTTGCGGATTGAATGTCGGAAGGGGTGCTTCGACACCTTGTCGTCGGGGAGATATAGTCGAAGACGTCGTATAGTTGACTCATTAAAAGCTACGATTATTTCGCAAGCATCTTTGGTCGAAAAGTCAGTCTGTTTGTTTCGTAAAGATCTCAGATTAATATCGAAATGATTTTATTTGATAAAAAGAAGCGTCTCATAGAAATGAGACACCAACAATTGGCAGTATGACTTTAATGCGTTTTGCATAAAAAAATACAGCGGGACTTTTGCGACAAATTTATTACGTGTAGATATTTCAAATAACTGAGAAAAGACCAAATGGAAGAAAGGTAAAGCAGACGAGAGCGACCAGTAGAATCGCGTGTCGTAAATTGTAGCGACGCTTTTTACATTATATATAAATGTTGTATGTGTACGGTCGTGTTGACACGATCATCGAGCGTGTAGATCGAATAAAACGAAGACTAACGGGGGAAGAGGAGTCTTCCGGTGACTTTGCAACTGCGACACAACTTTTTCGCGAGAGAACGACGCGACGATTTTAACGGGCGAACGTTCGAAGACTTTTGAAAAAGTGCAGCGAATAGATATACCCTTCCTGTCGCCGCCACCATTTGGCATTCGATGAATTATAAATGCAACGTGTCCCGCCGTCTACTGCGTTTCCAGCAAATTATCGGTACGTCGATAAATCGAAAGAGTTCCTCCGCAAGATACCGCGTGACTGTGCGAGTTGTACTCTTCGAGGTTTCACTCGACCGTGTGTACGCGCATTGTGTCGTAAAGTATCGCGTTCGTTACCATTTAAATTACGCGCCGCCGCTGTGCTTCGCCAAATTGCAATCCTGTTCTTTTAAGTTTTTCTTTTTTTTTTTTTTTTTATTTGTTTTTGCTCTTTTTTCTGCACACGGAATTTTTTTACACACTAGAGTTCGATCTAGCGCGGTTTAATTTAGCCGAACGGAAACGCGCGCTATGGCGGTGTCCGGGGAAAAGAGCGGGAGAAAAAAGATACCTCCGCGCGCGCACTTTTATCGCCGCGCCCCGACGTAAGAATTCACGAGCGGCCGGGCTGAGGAATCTGTTTCCCCGCGCCGCGATCGGCGCAAGATCCGCCGTGTTTATAAAGGCCGCGGCCGAAGCTCCGTCGTAGGCGGACGCATCAATACGTGACAAACGCGTTTTAGTACTCCGCCCGACACTAAACTTGCGGAACGCGCAATAAAAAGCGCCGTTAAAGCGAACGCCACGTAAAAGGGATATCACGATTTGAGCATCGCGGTAGAGTCGCTCGGGCAGAAACGAAAATCTAATTAAGCTCGTATCGGCTGATGAGCGACGATCAAATCCCGAGACGTTCCCGCGACGAAGCAAGCGCGAGATAATTCGCTTCGTCAGCAGCGGTGGTTCCGGCTTCCGCCGAAGCCGCGGAACCGTCGCGCCACGATGATTTTTCCCGCAAACGATAGCTCGCGTCTCAATCGAGCGCGCGAATAAAGCGCAAAGCCGACGACGGGATCGGACCAAGAATGTCCGTTTAATCGATCGAATAATTCAAACGAACAGAAGCTCAAGAGCGGGCCTCCTCTTTGGATCGCGCGCAATTGGCGCGATTAATACGCTCGTTAATTCGCGGTGCCAGTCCCAACGTTCTCGACCTCATTATTACAGATATTCTCCGCGGTATCGTGGAGCGTCCATTGTACTGTGACAATTAATCATTTGTTGATATCCGCCAATTACGTCGATCGCGAATTCCCGGCGACGGCCGCGCCGGGTCGAGCCGCGAATGCGCGCGTAAGACTCGAGAGTGAATCTCGCGCGCGGGGCGAACAATTCGGACTCGTCGAATGCGCTTTCAGAGGATGGCGAGAGAGCCGACCGGTCGATTTGAGGAGAGGCTCGATCCTCCAAATCGGAGGGTCTGATTCGAATTGTTCGGCGCGCGCCAGCAAAATGCCGGGCACTAATCGCGCGCGGGCGCTCGCTCGCTCGCTCGCTCGCTTGCTTGCTTGCGCCTGTCCAACGCAGGCCGGCCGGACACGCCGCACAACTGCTCCTTATTGAACCAAACGACCGACTCGATCTACGTGGAGTGCGTCGAGGGCTTCGACGGCGGGCTGCCGCAAAAGTTCACGATGCAGGTAGACCGCGAGACCGGGCCCGGCAAGAGCGGCGGCTCCGGCGGCGCCGCCGCCGCCGCCTCCTCCTCCGCCTCCGCCGCCTCGACGACCGTCTACAACCAGACGAGCAAACTGCCGACCTTCTCCGTCAACAATCTGGACCCCGGCAGCACCTACGAAGTTTCTATTTACTCCACCAACGCCAAAGGTCGCAGCGAGACTGTGCACTTTCGCGCCACCACCCTGAATCTCCCTGAGAGACGAACAGGTGAGTAGCCCGGGCCACAGAGTCGAGACACGACACGTTGAGAATGATCGATGACGAGGAACGATCCGCGGTGACTGCCACGTCTACGATCTTTACCGAATGATTCATAAGTAAGTCTCGAGGACGACGCGAGAGCGACGCGACGCGACGCGACGCGACGCGACGCGACGCCGCGTCCCCGCGCGTATTTGGCGAGACGATGAGTTTGTCGGTCAGTGAGACCGCGGGGAGAGAACCTCTCTCTTTCTCTCGCGGAAGAGGAACTTTCCGAGTTCCGAGAGAGCGCTCGTTGCATTGAAATTTCGATGAAAACAACAGCGCGACGCCACACGCTGGTAACTGGAATAATAAAGTAACGCGACAGCGCGACGAGCATATTTAACGCACGATTGCCGCGGCACGTCGTTGCAGCACGAAAGATTCTCCGCGCCGGCGAGAACAATTTCGCATGTCGCGTTACTCGCTTCGCGAGCGCTCCTCCCGGCGGCCATTTGTTGCGCGACGCTTCGCGTGCACAGCCCCGGGTCCTCAAAATTCCGTTTGGCCGTGCGAGCGCAATTTTATCGAAGCTGCTCGCTAATGTCGCGCAGTTCGAAACATCGTGCAAATAGCTCGTTTATCGTATTTCGTAATTACTACATTACTCGCCTAGCTGGAGAAGTTCTCTCAATCTCGACCCAATAAACTCGCTGTGTGGTTCGGCGAGCAGTGGCTGTAGTTTATCGGGAGTGGCTCCTAAGTTTCGACTGTGTCAATACGATAACAATATCGGCGAATATACTTCGCCCGGTGCACAGCGTAAAACGACGCGTCGTAAATGCACCGGGGAATATAAACGGAAAACGGAATATATATAAAGGAAGCGTCGCTACCGCCGCCACCGCCGTCGTCGTCGTCGTCGTCGTCGTCGTCGTCGTCGTCGCAGACGACGGAGATGTTACTTATGAATCATCGATCTGATATTTTGAGCACTGTTCGCCACGCTGCACGGCCTTGCATCGTAGATGCTCGTGTGAACACGTTGATCCTCGCGAGCAATAACATCGTAACTCGATTTTCCCGCAGGCGGAGCCCCTTTTTGAGCCGGCAGTGCGAGAAAGTTCGCGAGTAAATTATGCCCCATATAGCAATAATATCGCGTGTGTTTGTGCCGATTTGCGCGAGATCATCCGCGCGGTTTACGCCAGATATTTCTCATTACCGTGCGGAAAGTTAGACAAACAGTGCTGCAGGATGTATATAGAAAAGTTTAAATCAGTAGTAAGTTTATAATGGAGTTTCATCTCCTCATCTTCCTCCCTCTCTATCTTCTCTCCTTCTCTCCCTCTTTCTCTTTCTCTTTTTTTTCACTCTTTTTCTTTCGCCCTCTCTCTCTCTCTCTCTCTCTCTCTCTCTCTCTCTCTCTCTCTCTCTCTCTCTCTCTCTCTCTCTCTCTCTCTCTCTCTCTCTCTCTATTCTCTCTCTCTCTCTCTCTCTCTCTCTCTCTCTCTCTTTCTCTCCATTCTCTCCATTTTTCTGACGAAATTTAACTCATTGTTCAATTATCGAACGAGCAAACGAAGATATTTGAGAAAAGAGACGCGCAGAATGTTAATTAAAGCCAACAATATAAATACGCGTTCACGTAGAGTCGTGCGATATCATAGTAAATATCATTCATTTACCAATGTTTCTTCTGGTCTTTTTTATCGTTTGCGGAGTTGCCCAATAAATACAAATCCTATTTGATAACGAATAAACAAGGGGCTTCAGCCAAATATTTTAGCAAATACAACTCGTTGCAACAACAGTGATATATTCCGATTGAAATCTGAATTAATATAACCCGCTGCGAGATCATTCTTTCGGCCGTTTTTCTCGATGGAACAGTTAAATGATATTTCCAAATTATTTGCAACCCAATGACGAATCATGAACCGCGGGAAGGGCATTAACGGCAAGCCTCTCACAATCGAGATAACCACAAAGAGAAAAATATCACAACTTGCGCGGAGAAAAATGGCGCACTTGTGCGGATTTCTCGGCAATATTGCGCCACAAAACAAGATGTTCACAAAGTGCAGAGATAAAATTGTTTTGCGAGTTACGATGATATTGGATCCGACCGTGAAATCCGTGGCTATCTCAGCGAACGATCGTTATCTCTTTACATTTGAGCGATCAAGCACACGGGTATGTCATGTGGAGCTGCACACCTATTAGAATTTCGTGTAGAGGACTGCATCAAAAGCGTAGCAGACATGCGGTACTTGTAAGATGTGATTAGATGCATATGCTGCGGCACACGCTGCAGACGGCGCATGATCGCTCGCCGTCAGTGACCGTCTCGTACCTCGCTCAAGTGTTTCCGTCGCTCCGTCCATCGGCGGCCATCCAGCGACGGCGACGGCGACGGCGACGGCGACGGCGACGGCGCGAGTATCGATGTGTGCGACCGATAAAAGCGAACGAGCGACGCGATTAACAGTAATTGCACGCACCGACGACTAACACAGACCGCCTCCCGGAGAGGCAGACACGCAATCGCGTCGTTGTGCGACTCTGCGATTCACCTTTCAGCGGGAAAAGTCCTACGTTACAAGTCCCTCATTTGTCCAAAAATTTATCATCCACTGAGAGTTATTCGTCGAAACACAACCGTTCAATTTGCATAATTAACGAGAGAACCATGTCCTCTTTTTCTCTCTTCTCTCTCTCTCTCTCTCTCTCTCTCTCTCTCTTTCATTCTTTTCTCTTTCTTTCTCTCTCGAACGCCTTCACACGCGGCAGTTAATTCGCGAGCGACTCCCCTAACAATCACTATTGAGCAGATCGACTTAAGAGGACTGGAGGGTCAGATTGGTGAAAAATCGTGCTTGTTTTTGACAATATTTTGCGATGAACTGAATAAATGTGCAAGAATGAAAATTTTAGGTATACAGTGGCGTGCAAAACTTTTGAGCCACACAATTATTATTATATATTCATTTCATAATGAGCGCCAAAAACTTTACACATATATATAAGCAAAATGTATTTATTTGTCCTATAATTATATAAACTTTACAAACTCTTAATAATTCTAAATACTTTATTTTTACACAATGTCTTATTACAAACAGTGCAAAAGTATTGTGCCAAAAAGTTTTCTTATGTATAAGAAAAATATATTATTGAAAAATAATAACAGAAAATGTTGTCAACGTTTTTCTAAACTTAATACTTTGTTGCCATGCCTTTAGAAACAATCACTGCAGCACAACGGCGAGGCATTGATGCTATTAAATTAGAAATGCGATCTTGAGGTAAATTTTGCCATTGAGTTTGCAACTCTTGCCACAATTCAGCTTTATTGGAGTGTTTCTTATTTCCTGTACATAGTTTGAGTTCTTGCCACAAATGCTCAATAGAATTCAAGTCCGGCGATTGCGAGGGCCAGTCAAGAACTCGCATTTTTTTCACGATGAAAAATTCTTTTATTAGTTTTGATGAATGTTTGGGATTATCTTGTTGGAAAATCTAACCATGTTTCAAATTGCATATGGCAGCATATGCTGTGTCAATATATCTCGATACATTATAGCGTCCATAGTATCCGTGATCTCAACCAATGGACCAACTCCATTATAAGAAAATGATCCCCAAACCATCACGTTACCTTCACCATGTTTTACAGTAGGAATTTGGTATCTTGAGTTATACCTTGTGCCTGTTGGACGTCGTATATACTTTCTACCGTCACTTTCGAATAACTGAAACTTTGACTCGTCAGAGAAAAGTACTTTTCGCCAATCAACTTCAGTCCAATGTCCAAATTTCCTTGCAAAATCTAATCGAGCTTTCTTATTTCTTGCACTAATTAATGGTTTTTTTTACACCAGCACGTCTTAAAAGGTCTACTTCCTTTAGACGTCGAGATTATTGTATTTCGACTAATATCAGCAAGATTTTCTTCTCGTAATTTTCAGTAATCTGACCCTCCAGTCCCTTTAAACAGGTGAATCGAGAACGCGGAGTACAGAAGGTATTTTCCGAAGGCACGCGTCTCGAGCGCAAGAACGTATGGAAATTCCATTCCTTGGCAACGTACTTCGCCGAAATCAAGTTGCGCAAACTCCGCGTCTCGAAATTCGTCGTTCGCGCGGATACACTTTTGCTAGCGGCTTCATGCTGTAACCCCATTAAACAAATTTCTCGGCCTAATTTAGCGTCGGCGAGCCCGGTCTGCTCTCTGGCGCATTCTTCTAACTAATTGCTCGCGATTAACCCGTGGGCGCACGTAGACGGACGTTAAGCGTACGCGCGTTAATAATGCGCGGTTAATAGGTGGCGGCTGCGGGACCCGTCGACGTCGACGTCGTCGTTTATCCGCTCTACTGCGGCCGACGGCGCAGTGTGGATCGAGATGGGGTAAACCAGACTATAAAAGGTCCTTCGTATTTCGCGTCAGCTGGCCCTTCTTCGTTACAAATCACCGTTCCTTACGCTACGTACATCCAATTTATATCAGCGCCTGCCGTTACTCGGAAACTAACAAGATTCGCTGAAATGTGCACGGTCGTTCGCGCGAGAACATACGCGGGAAAAAATATATCCGGCGCGATATCACCTCGGCGAGGTCGACATCTGTGACGCCGCGAGTCGCGACGTTGTTTTGCGAGCTTCTAAAATTTCTTCGCCGATAAATGCACGGAGTGATTCGGATGTTATCTATTGGGTTGGCAACTAAGTGATTGCGGATTTTGTCGACAGATGGATTTTACACTTTCTTTTGTTTCGTTAACGTGTTCAAAGTACCTAACCTATATTTTTTTCATATTGTTTGGACTTCTACCTTTCATTTAGTACAAAAATTATATCGATTAGTTGTTTAGTTTTGTTTTTATCCCAATTTAAAAATGGAAGAGCAAGACATGCACTTCAGACATATTTTATTGTATTATTTCCGAAAAGGCAAGAACGCATCGCAAGCACACAAGAAGTTATGTGCCCCGTATATGGGAATGAAGCCTTGAAAGAAAGGCAGTGTCAAAATTGGTTTGCCAGATTTCGTTCTGGTGATTTTTCATTGAAAAATGCTCAACGATCTGGCCGTCCAGTTGAAGTCGATGAGACCCATATCAAGGCCATTATCGATTCAGATCGTCATAGCACAACACGTGATATTGCAGAGAAGCTCAATGTATCGCATACATGCATTGAAAAAGATTTCAAAAAGCAAATTTAAAATTTTGAATTTTCATTCTTATTTAAAATCCGCAATCACTTAGTTGCCAACCCAATAATTCCATTTTCTAAAACTGCGATATTTAAAGAAAACATCGAGAGATCGAGAATAAAACGAACGTTTCTGCAAGTCCGTCTTTGCATCATACGCGAGTGTATGTATTAGGAATACCGGGAAGTCTTTTCGCTTTTGTCACAAAACTTTGTATGAAAATAATAAAGTAAGTACGATCTTAATGAAAGTTGATATATACACAATAAAGAAATGTTGTTAATTAACCTGTAATTTAAATCAATTCTGGATTGAAATTAAGAACCCGTACCATAACCACGAAAATTGGGGACTTTAAAATACGGAAAGACTAATAGTTAAAAAAAAAACTTTAAAGAATTTTCTTTTATTTTTGAGCTTCGATGATCGAAATCACTACACCGAAACGGTTTATCGTTAACCACGCATAGATTATATATTTTTTTCTTATCTTTATTCTTTGAGGACACGCTAAAATATACTTTTACTCGCAAAAGTTATGATCTTCTCCCGTCGTTGGAAGATCGCACCCGTCACTACCACCGAGTAGCAGCTTTCGAGACGATAAAAATGACGAAAATACGCGCGCGCGGATCGACTCGTCCCGCTCGATGACTGGCAGGTATCGATTGCATTTTGACGTTTCGCATTAAAATACGTCGGTGCGCAGCGTGACGAACGATTGGCACATTTCATGGAAATTCGTCGGCGTGATCGAGCTCTCTCGAGAAGATCGCACGCCATCGAACTCGCGAAAACGTGCGAGGACGCGTTTATAGCGGCCGATATCACGGCTGATCGAGCTTCGTTCGGATATGCGTGTCTTGACGATTTCTCGATAGCCGTGCCTTCCCTCGTACAATTACGAGTGCAAAACACTCGCTCACGATCGATCGATCGACCCAGCGGACGACGAATTTTACGGTCCGGGATGAGGTGCTAACTCACGTAGATTCGGCGAAATTTTAAAAACGATCAGTGTGTCACAAACAGACGTTTCGGTCTTCGGCTAGATTGGAACGCTGCGAAACTCTGCAGCTCTGCCGTCATCTATTTGATCGCTAAGCATACCAATTATTCCTGGCAACATTAAGGCAAGTGATATCGCGTGTTCGGCTCGCGATCGAAACGCGTTCAGTTGGAGAGGGAGAGAACGACACGACGTTCTGCGGAAATTATGAGACTCGCAAATGCGACGGCGCGAATTCTTCTAATCGTGAAATTCGTGGCAGCCAAGCGTATCGCTCGGCAGAAAGTTGCCGCGCTCCTACGCAGGAGAAACGTCCTGTATTCTAAATTTCTTAGCTCTCCCCGGATCCACACGTGACACCGAGCATATCCGCCCCGCCGAGCGAGCCCCGCGTCGATCCCTCGCGAGTCACACGACACGAGCTCATCCAATTATTTCATTACTCAAAACGAGTTAGCAGCCGGCATCGTCATTGGCCAGTCGTAACTTTCTCATATTTACTCGGCATACATCGCATCCGGTTCCGATTACTACTCCCCCGCCACCCACCCTTAACCGCTGTGCTCCCCGCCGTCTTCTAGCTCCCGCTCGTAAAACAACTCTCGCTCCCAAGTTGCCGTCGAAACTACCCTCGACCTGGCCTCTCCTTCCTCTCCTCCTCCTCCTCCGATACTCGCCATCCACTCGCACTCTCTCGAGTCAATAGACGAAGGCTGAGGCTGGTGTGTTGTGCCACTTCCGGTAGCAGGTGAAATGCTGGCGCAACCACCCTCGCCGGAGAATTGCACGATTCGGGAGGAGAGCCGAACGACTGTGCGGGTGAGCTGCGCCGAGAGCGAGTACTTCGACGAAAACACCGCCACCTACGTACTGCAGGTCTTCGACGCCGACACCAGGCGACTGTTGGCGTCCACGACAAGCCTGACGCCGAGCATGCTCGAGGTGACGAATCTGCCGGCCGAGAGGAGCCAGTCCGGCCTGGTGCTGTCTCTTCGGGTCATGACGGCGCAGGCGATGAGCGACGCCACGGTCCTGCACAGCCTGCACTTTGCTCGGGAGGGTAATACCCAGGAGCACCAGCGATACCCAGGTAGGGCCCAGATACACAATGGATCGTCCCTACCGACCCGCCTACCCCACCACCCCCTCGCCCGCCCGCCCACCCGCCCGCTCGCTCGCTCGTCCGCCAGCCAGCCTCGCCAACCCCGAGCGTCGCCGCCCTGTCGTTGTTCCGACGAACGTCGCGGACGCGGTACTTTTCGCGCGCGCGCGCGCGCGCGACGAATTAACAGCACGCGCTCGTGACGGCAGCGACGAGCGATAAATCGTCGTCGTTGTCGAGCGAGTCGCGAGGATCGATGTGTCGGTTCTTTTTCCGCTTGTGTGTATTGTGTGCGTATGTCATGCACGCGCGAACTTGTGTGTGCGCGCGCTTTCGAATTTTGTTCCTACCTACCCTTTCTCTTTCCTCTTCTCCCAACCTGAGCGCTTGTACATACGTTTTGTCGGAGGATGCTCGTTGCGCGCTCGTGATTTCGAGACTGGCCGAGAGGTCATCGCGACTCAGTCTCTGTTGACGCGTGCATCCCAGATATTCATTTATTTATACGAATTTCCACTCTTGAGTTATGCCGTTTGCCGCGTCGTCGGTTATCCCTTACTCTCTCTCTCTCTCTCTCTCTCTCTCTCTCTCTCTCTCTCTCTCTCTCTCTCTCTCTCTCTCTCTGTCTCTCTCTCTGTCTCTCTCTCTCTCTCTCTCTCTCTCTCTCTCTCTGTCTCTCTCTCTCTCTCTCCCTTTCTGTCTCTGTCTCTCTCGGTGCTTATCCAGTACCACATAAACCACTCGCATACCGTGCGAATTAAGGCTACCACGATCGGTACCAGAGCTCGGCTAATGAGTCAGATGTAATGAGACGTACGGAATAAAAGACGGAATATTTTCTACTGACGGACGAAATTGAGACGTGAAGCTTGAGAACGTGCGCGATAGACAGTTTTCAACACGGCCAAGAACGTAACGTTACGTGGGGAAATTTTGCATTATTAGACCGGCGTAACAACCTCGGCACATGGTGGCGTTAATTAAGTTATCAGGATTTTGCAATCTCGTAGGCATTAATGATTTATTTACTGATTATCGGATTATAGGAAGCGGGATCGATGTGTCCAAGCGGTGAACTTTGCGGGCTTGGTAGCTCATTCCTATGGCTCTCACTTGTGTGGGTCTCGCAATCGATATTTCATGCGTGTACTCTTAATGGCTTTTAAATTCGGTTTCATTGAGTAATCTCCGCGTCGACGGCCGGAAACAAATGCGTACGATTGGAAAATGCTAACAAATCAATCGCACCGCGTGTTAAGGCTGTCGTGCCAATCTGCACGGTCTACTTGCGGCCGTCTGCGAAGGTGCCGGAGAAGGTAACAATAGCGGCAGTGATGGTAGTAATCCACATCATCTGTCTCATCGTTCGCGCGGTGAAAACGCTCAAGCGACGGCGGCCGTCTGACGTGTCGGCGCCTCCGCAAATTCATCACGGAGGTACTATCTCGAAATTTGCATATTTACCTCGCGCGTACACACGAGGGCCACACTCCCGAGGTTTTTTCTATCCATCGACGAACGAATGAACTATCGGATTAAGGGCAATCACCGGAGAATCTCGCGATTGACTCGCGGAATATTGTTACATCGTTTGTACGATACGGTCAATCTGCATGCTGCAGACTCGTGTTGACGCGAATCCGTAGTCTGCGTTACGCTTCACGCTCGTGCCCGTAGTGTGTGAGTGAGTAAGAGAATGAAAGAGACGGGGCAGGGAGGGAAGGGAGCAGATGAGAGATTCTGCCTGTTTTCTGCGGATTGCACTGGTAGGTAGATACGACGCGGCTAGAGCTTCCTGCAGTCTGCCATTGTGTATTTCGTTTCTCTCGAAACTTCCAGCGAAACTTCCCCCGCGCGTACTACGTGAGTGTGTTCCGTTGTTAATTTTTCCCACGTCATTCATCACTTAAAGTATACGCCAGCTTGTCTCTCTATACGTGTGTGTGTGTGTGTGTGTGTGTGTTTGTTTGTGTGTGTGTGTACATGTACATTAGTGTATTGTGTAGATAAAATGCATTATGTATTGTATAGAGAAGTATTGCACGTAGATTAGAAAGCACGCTTTTACGTAATCTGCTGTGTAACGAGACGTTGAGCTTTTTGTAGGACGATCGTTTGCACGAACAGTTCTCGTCCCCCGGACGCTAACAAGCCACGTGTCTTTCGCACATGATAAACACGCGATCGCACGTGATAAACACGTAGCCGTCTCTAAGCGCGATTATGTTATTTTACGTGCACTTTCGTCGCCGGTTTTGATGCATACAATGATATCGCGAACGACATTGCGGAGATCAGCGGCGCAGATATGCTAATCGAAGATTTCGCCGTGCATTCGTGGCGGAAGTCGGCTCGCCCGGGTGCATCCTGTAAACAGTTAGCGCACATACACGGATGAGAGGGAGAGAGGGAGAGAGGGAGAGAGAGCGCGCGCAAAGTCGAGAGGACTTGTTTCCAAGAGACACCAATAAGGCGACCGCTTGTACGTGTAAACCGTGTCGAGAGGCATTCAACCAAAATTGCTCTGCGGTCAAACCCGATCTTCGTGCTTGTCGAAATCGTTGTGTGGTGATGTACACGCTGCCATCCATCGTTGAGACATCACGAGAAACGTTATCGCGCGCGAGATCCTCTGGTTTTTCCGTCCCGAAAGGACAGAACGACCTTTTCCGCGCACGCTCGCTCGCTCGCTGCATTCCGCTCGATCGCAAAAACCCACGTAATTCGCCGACACTCGATTCTCGCAATTCTCTCACGGTACAAAAACCGCGCGACAGATATTTCGTATTTTTTAGATTTGCGGTTTTTCCTTCGCTGTGTATTAACACGTCGTTGACCGGCTGTTTCGCAAGCATCGTGCTTTTGTTTTTTCACGGGCGATTTTTAATAAATTGACACCTATTCGACCGCCTCTTCTCGACATTGTTCAACCCGTCCGACCCCTTGTCCGCAATCCGGCTATTTTTTACGCCTTTAACAAACAATTTTTGAAACACGAGTAACCCGTGGGCCGGCCAATAACGTTCGATCAACGAAACACGAGCTTCCTCGTCATCGGTCGCCGATGTGTCAAGTGCGATTTGAAACGTTCAAGCGAGATGGTGATTCCGGTGCATTCGAGAGCGTTAGGACCCGATATTAGCCATTATATTTTTATATGTTTTTTTCAACGCAACCTTCACGCGACACGGTGGCGAACTCGCGTACCGTCGATAATTCGCAGCTCCCGCTATGAATCATACAGACAGCAGACTACCGCGATCAGATAATCTCTCGTGCGCTTCCTGCACGCGGTGATTTCCGCGAGGAGGCGGCGCTAGCATGTTACACGAAGGCGGCTTCCGGCGGCTTCCGGTGCTTTCGATTAATCTTTCGCAAATTAATGGATAAACTCACTGTGAAAAGCGCAGCTTAGGCTCGAAGACAACAAAGCTGCATGCGCTCCGGTGACGCGGCGGGGTGGCGATGCTTACGAAGATGCTCGAGTCATGCGCTAAAGATTTGTCCGCATCCAGGTTCCTAACGCGCCGTGCCATAAGGAAGTTCCGCGCGCGCGCGCACGAGGTTGCCCGGGGAACGAATCCGGCGCGTCTGATTTCAATGAGAATCTCAGAAGCTCAAAAGCGATTATTCACCTCGTTTATCATTACGAGCGCGTACATCATTGGATCGCGTACACTTTCGTCGCTCCTATTAATTCCCCGCGAATTTGTATAATTTATGTAACACACATTAGCACGCCGCGCGCCGGCGTCGTGTCGCGCAGCTCTCGACGACACGAGATAGACTTAACGTAACCAAGTCAAACCAAACCAAACCAAAGCAAACTTAACGAAACCCACCTTGGATTCGAAAGCGAACGAATGATAAAAAATTACTTTCGCATGTAGAGTTTGTCGAATAAGACAAAGAAACTTCTCAATCAATTTTCGAAAGAGATGCAAGAAGATTCACAAAACGATCATCCTTCCTGCGAGAACCGTAAAAGTGCGCGACTCTTTGTTGGTGAAGTAGTATTTCCAAACATTTACCTTCGCGTAAGCATTTCCTACTTGCTATCTATTTCACGCGACAGAGGGTGACGTTTTAAAATCCTTAACAATAGAAGATGTACGACCTCTTCTCTCGTAAGGAGCACAACTCCTGCTTGAAAATATCATATCGATTTTGTCGTCTTTATTATATTTCGCAGCGCCGTCTCGATGTCCCTTTTTTCCTCTTCTTTCCGTATCGCTTCGACACAGATGAACTCGTAAAAACTTTACATTTTCTTTCTGTCATTCTTTTTCCCTTTTTCTCTCTGTCGTATTCCCCATGTCCATATATTCTCTGTCTGCTGTCTATACGTCGAAACTCCGTTCAAATAAGAAAATATATCCGAGATTCGCGTTTGGCCCGATAAAATACATTTTCTATGCACGTACTCGAAAGGCATGAATTCAAATCGTCATTAGCTTAGTTTGATGTTCGCGAATGTTGACGTGCGCGCGTGTTGACTTTAATATCATCTTAGTGGAAACGGAGAGGGAAAGAGATGGCGAGAGATGGCGTGAGAGAGAGAGAGAGAGAGAGAGAGAGAGAGAGAGAGAGAGAGAGAGAGAGAGAGAAAGCGAGAAGATAGGGAGAGCGAGTAGGAGAGGAAGCGGCGAAACGGGAACGAGCTAGCGAAGAGGCATTCGTTTAACAGAGTTCGCGAATATAAGTGGGTTTTGATTAGCCCCGAACTTGTGAGCACCGCAGCAGAGAATTCAAGATAGAGTGCATTTGAATCCCAAATTCATTGCTAATGCGGTTGCATGACCTATGATCCGGGCAAACACTCGTCGACTGCAGACAGCATTTGCGAGGATTATTTTTTGATGACAAAGAACCGCGACTTGTACCTCTTACGGAAGTGGCATTCGCCGAGCACGGCTTCCCCCCACATCCGACATGAGGGAATTTGTCTGTCCGGTTAAATACGCCCGCTCGTTAATTCGCGGAAAGTTCAAACGATATTTCACCCGAGTTTTATTTCGCGATAATGACATTACGAACACGACGATGTGACTGGAGAGAGTTGGTAAGTGAAGATCCAACGAGCGAAGTATCCTAATGGAAAATGAAAACGGAGAGGAGAGAATTCATTCCTCGCTTCTCGTTCATAAGTTAGAAATTGGCTCGGTAACGCGAGATTTGACGACACGATCTTGAGGCGTTAAAATCACGAAAACCTTTCGCTCTTCTAATCTAATCTAACTGCACACTAATTTAACGTTGCTTACGGATGAAAATTGTTCACTTAATTCCCTATTGTTTTAAAGGACGGAAAATATCCGCGAGATACGACAGGGCGCGACGCAGACGTGGAGGAAGAATTAGTCGATGAGACTTGAGTGTGAATTTTAACGGGCAGGCAGCAATATGACGCGATTGATGAAAATAATTATATCTGCGGGATGACGAGCGTGCTATAAATTTTCATTGCGCTTGGCAGTTGCGTAGGTCGCAATGTACTTCAAGAGCACCACCCCGTGCGGATCCAACGAAGCTGCCTTTACGATCGCGCTGCGGTTGCGAGGGAAACGTTATATCTGCGCACTTTTTACGACCATTTTTTATGGGCCAAACTGCAAATACACACGGTATACACATAGATATCCGCACGCGTGTACTATGCTTACTCTAAACATATCAGAGATGTTTCAGAACGTCTCCAGGACGCCACGCCTGCGACCTGCGGGTCTTTCGCTTCTAAGTCGGATTTATGTTGCGGGTTACATGTTGCGCGGATTTTAATTGCATGCGAATAAAGAGTCGCGCAAGAACTGTTCATAAGATCCTCACGGCGAAAAATGCAGCGAAAGATCTCGCGGACGAAAACGCGGATATAACGTTGTCGCACGTTCTTTTTTGAAAAAAAAATTGTCTGTCATTCTCTACAGTTATATATATATACATCTCTCTCTCTCTCTCTCTCTCTCTCTTTTTCTCTCTCTCTCTCTCTCTTTTTCTCTCTCTCTCTCTCTCTCTCTCTCTCTCTCTCTCTCTCTGTTTCTCCAACGATATTCTTCTTAGTCAGAAATAACACACATCCCTTCGTCGAGCGTATGCATCAGTTGGCGCGATCATTGGAATTTGTCATAATTTGAATTTATAAATTTACGCGCGACACTCGCGAGCTCATGAATATTCTCGTTACGCGAGATGCGTTTTTTCTTTTTTCTTTATTTTCTTCCCTTTTATAAATTCTTTTTTTTTCTACGGGCTGGTATCACGACATACTTTTTCCACGAGCATAATAACGAGATATTAGTCGTCGCGTACCGTTTGTTTACCGTCGACACAAAAAGACCGGCACAAGATATGGTAGATTTTGTATCTCTCTCTCCCTCTCCCTCTCCCTCTCTCTCTCTCTCTCTCTCTCTCTCTCTCTCTCTCTCTCTCTCTCTCTCTCTCTCTCTCTCTCTCTCTCTCTCTCTCTCTCTCTCTCTCTCTCTCTCTCTCTCTTCCTTTCTCTCTTTTTATAAAGAGATCAACCACGCGCGCCTGATCTCTCGCGAACAATTTCACAACGCACTTCTGCCGATTCGGTCAGTCGCGATGAAAATAGTCGTCAGCTTTAAACAAAACTGCGCTCCGTTCGTAAAGAATACAGCGGGATGATCGCACAAATGAGCCGGAAAATCCGTTTTCCCAATCGAGAATATTTTACCTATAATCGAATTGACATCCGCGAGTCGCAGCATGGTATTATTTCCCCCTTCAACGCATTTTACACATGTCTTATCTAGATTTTTGTTAACACACGTTATCTCGTTTCCTTAGGAAGCTACAAATCTTATTTTCGATGTCCGATAAGACGTCGTAGCAACAAGCTGTCTTGCTGTATTTAACGGAAAAATCGTTCAAGGGACGCGGAAAATACGAGGAAAGTTTTTCTCGACCTTTAAATGACATCGCATCTTTTTATTTTTATTTCGTTTCTGTTATCGCTAAGTATCAGCTGTCGATACGTGTGCACTTTCGAAATGTTCACGTTAGTGAACCTGCGTCACTCGACCAGCGAACAGCGGCATTGCGAATATTCCCATATTTCGCCCGCAGAGAATATAGATCGACGGAGAGAAAAAAAGTCAAGTCCCGAGCCGAGGGTCGATAAATCGCAGAACCCCGAAGAAAAGGTTGCACGGTGGAGAGTTATTGTGGTAATTTGAGTATAACGACATATGAGGTAACTGCTGGCCCCTCCCTCCCCCTGCAACCCCCTGAATATGGCTCGGTTCCCGAAATAGCGCGAAAAGTCGCTGCCCATTTGCGACTTTTTCCGAGAGTTCCATCGTTCGCACGGACAGCCACTCGTCACGGTCATTTTTCTTTTCCTACTTTCCTTCCCTTTTTTTCTTTGCGTCCTAATATACGACGAAACAGCGCGGCTGTGAGACAATTTATCCAATCTGCGCCAAGAAATCGTCATCTCTCACGGCATAAAATGAACCTTATAAAACACTTGGCCAACGAGATATTTCTTTAATTCGGTCTTAATTAAAAATCCCAAAGCCGAAGGTACAAAAGAGGAGAAAACTGAGCCCGCTTGTTCGTCCTTAGAGAACATCGCGCAGGTCTTTTCTCTCTCTCTCTCTCTCTCTCTCTCTCTCTCTCTCTCTCTCTCTCTCTCTCTCTCTCTCTCTCTCTCTCTCTCTCTCTCTCTCTCTCTCTCTCCCTCTCCCTCTCTTTCTTCTCCTCTCCCAGGGAAAAAGAATCGCGAAGAATCCGGCGCGTCTACAAGCTGCAATATCTTATCCGATCGTTGCGAACTTACGACCATGCCTTGCCTTGCACTCCTCGGCTAAACAACAATGGATGTTTCTCGTTGTTGTAACAATCGACGGAGCGGTTTATCGCCCTCGCGAACCGATCACCAGCACAAGTTTCACAATGTTCCGCTGTGTTGTCTCTCTTCTCTTCCTTTCTCTCTTTTTCTGCCACTCTCTCTCTCTCTCTTTTTCTGTCTCTCTACCGTTCACGCCCTTCCCGTCCCCTCTTTTCTTCGTAATCGCCTGGAAACAATTGAATACAACTTGCAGCCCTAACGCCAGTTATGTTGTCGCTGTCGGGTCCGCTGCTGGGCGCCGTGGTGGGAGCCGCAGCGGGGTTGCTCCTGGTGATCTTCGTGATCGTGATGGCTGTCAAGCTGCGTTATCGACCCCGATCTCAGGAGGACAAGGATTCTCATGACGACGGCGGCATGGCGAACCTGGCGGCGTCGGGGACCGGCGCCTCGTCCCCGCGTGACAAATCGGCGACCTTGCCCCTCAACGCCGATAGCATCGAGAGTTTCGAGAAGGATCCCGATATAATACCGCACGCAAATGGTAGGCGAGAACCTGTCACTTCGCTTTGCTCAGCATGCTCCTCCGCCTCTCCTCTGTGCTTCCTCCTTTCTCTTCGGCTGCATAATAAACGCACGTCGCGTGAGACAGATCGCGCGCTCCTTGTCTCCCGTTACTCGATCGCTCTTGATATATCGCGAGATTAATAATAATAATGATAATATTAATAATATTCCTTCTCTTTTTCTTTCTTCTTTTTAATCTTGTCGGGGTTTCGGGTAATAATAATAATAATAACATTCTTCGTTACTTTCACCGAGATTTCTCATGATGAAAGTTATAAGATTTTCTCTCTTACTTTATTTCGTCGGAATTCGATCTCTTCGTATGGTGAATAAATTAGAATAGTTCGTCCGGCGATATTTGACTAACAAAACACGAGTTCCCTCGTAATCGGTTAACAATTTGTCGAGTAAAACAACGACGACGCGTTATGGACAATCGTGTTTCCCGAAGATCGTCCTAGCTCCGCGAGTGTCGAATCACATGGATGGACATGGTTCTCAGTACGGAGCGAGGACCTCGCGCTGCCGATTCGCGCGAATAGCATACTCTTTATTCTCGGTTGACACCGTGTCATGTGCATGAGACACATAGGAATTCACTGGCGCAACAAGCAACGACGTGATATCTTCGCTTTACTCCATTGTAGAAAATTCATACGCGGAACTATGCAAAGGAGCATCACCGCGATACGTGCTGCAGCAGCAACGCCCGGACGCGAACACCTTCACCGGTGCAAACAACGTAAGTTCTCTCACGGATCAACTGTAATTTCTGTCATTATTCATCCCCCGGGCTGAATTCGTCCCTCCCCGATGTGTCCGTTGCATAATTAATTCACGTCTGGCTGATAAAACTAGTCTAGCAATAATCTCCATTTGGAATCACGCGCGAGCGTTCGATATGTATAACGAACGTTATTACGTCAATTTTGCGCGAGAAAGCGGAGGGACAAAAATGTCGCTCTTATCCATCATGTAACGATTCGGATAAAAACAATATAATAATATATTCCAATATGTCCAGAAATATACGCGCGATACAATATGTTTCTCGGATCACCTGTGCAAATTTATTCCATAAAAGATGAGGTATGCAAATATACCGTTTTTTGTATCCGATGGATTTTTATGTAATTGATCAAAAATCTATATTGATATAACAACAATCCACATCGGGCGCATTCAGCCCGGAACGCGCGTTACACTACGCGTTAGTGAACGGCGCAAAACCGATATAATTTTGGCGATTGCGAATTTTCATACACCCTATGGGCGCGCAATTGCGCGCGTAAAGCGATATCACCGCGCTGAAGTGCACTTTCGTTTGTGAGAATTAAAACACAACCAATCGCATTTAGGTGGGCCTCTGCGACGTGATCAATCTCACATGAACTTTGGCGCTTTCGAAGCGTCGAATTTTTATTTCACGAAACAATACTTACAAGGAACATCCGCGAAATGTGTGTCTCCGATTTCGATGAAACTTGGCATATTTGTAGAATAGCCAAAAATAAGAGACACGTATTTTTTTATCGGCTCAGACTTTTAATGACTCAGATTTAAGGGGTGAAACTGTCCCTCAAAGTTTTATCCCCTTTATGCTGTCTCGATACTTATTGCAGATAGGAAAAATCTTTTTAAACAAAAATTGTACGGCATAAGAAACTATTTTTATTTAGAAAGTTTTTTCCTAGCTGGAATAATTATTGAGATAACATAAAGGAGATGAAACTTTGAGAAATAGTTTCACCCGTTAAATCTGAGCTATTGTCGATAAAAAAATATGGGTTTCTTATTTTTGACTACTCTACAAATATGCCAAGTTTCGTCGAAATCAGAGACACACACTTCATGGATGTTCCTTGTTAATGTGTCTCTCTGATTAATCCTCTCAGGTATCAAGTCATTCTAAAAGCAGTGTCGTTTCTTATTTTACTTTAGACAAACAGATACATCTTCCTTAGACGACGTACATAAAGGGTGTCCCAAAATTCACGCAAGAAGTAATTTTGATAGAAAACACAGGTTTATAAGTAAAAATTGTAAATTTTTTATTGATTCATAAAGTATACAGTATAGGGTTATGTATGGAATAGCATATCGGGTAAATGGCCTCCACGGCTTTGCTGGCACATATGCACTCTTTTGTTGAAATTTTCCATGACCGTTTTGCATAAATGTGGCTGAATTTCGTTGATACAGCGCACAATTTCCTCCTTCAAGGCGTGGGTGGTCGTGGGCTTGTTGGCATAAACCTTAGACTTCAAAAAACCCCAAAGAAAAAAGTCCAACGGCGTTAAATCGCATGATCTGATCACCAAAACGGGAAATTACACGACCAGGAAATGACTCATGCAGTAATTGAATTATTTCTCGGGCTGTATGGTATGTGGCGCCGTCTTATTGAAACCACATGTCGTCCACATCCATATCTTGCAATTTAGGCACAAAAAACTGGATTATTATGTCGCGATAGCGAGCACCATTAACTGTTATTGCCTGACCAGCCGCATTTTCGAAGAAAAATGGTCCGATGATGCCTCCAGCCCAAAATCCGCACCAAACAGTGACACTTTGTGGATACATTTGTTTCTCAACAATCACTCGTGGATTTTCTGAACCCCAAATGCGACAATTTTGTCGATTAACCAAGCCGTCAAGATGAAAATGAGCCTCATCGCTGAAGATGATTTTGTTCGAAAAATCAGCATCCACTTGTTGTTGTTCCATAATCCATTCAACGAACTCTTTTCGCTGTGGTCGTTTACCCGATATTCCGGTACCCGGTATACTTTATGAATCAATAAAAAATTTACAATTTTTAATTACAAACCTGTGTTTTCTATCAAAATTACTTCTTGCGTGAATTTTGGGACACCCTTTATAAAGCAAATTGGAGCATTAAACACTCTCAGACAGACGTGTGAATGAACTCCAAGATATTTGGCTAAACAAAATCTGGCTGAATGAAACACCAATTTCTCGATAAATTTAGCAGTGGATGCTTACAATGATTGATTTCTAAACGTTTCGACTAAATTTAATCTAAACGAAATGCAAAATTATATTTTTGTCTCCTTCCATTTGTTAAAGTTAATAAATCGATCAATTTTTCTCTGTACTCTTTCTTTTTCCTGCGACGCTGTTGAAAGGACTCTTTATGCGTTAGAAAATCAATAAAATTGTTTATTTATCTACTCATGTATGTATACTTTTTTTTTATACCTTTGAAACGGCATTCTCTTTATCGTCTCAGTGAAGCGTAAAAGTAAAGTCTTAATATCTTGCGTCGAAAATGAGTTTCAAGAAAGTATATTACTTACAGAATGACCTGATGATTTCCCCTAATTAATTCTCTGACAACTCACGGCGAAACTTTCCTCCCTGCAGCCGTAATCAGCCGATCGATCGACCTTCTCATTGAAAATGAACGCGAACTTGCATAATGCATTCGTTGTGAGTTGATCGGAGAGGCGCGTATTTGTAATAACGATACGAGACGAGCCGAGCCGAGTCGATTCAGGAAGTAATACTATGCTCTCAGCAGGGATCCGAGCTAACATACGCCGAGTTAACGCTCAGGGGAAACCGGCGGATACCTCTAAATTGCTACCAGCCCGTGCAAATCTCCAGCATCCAACGGCCCCAGCTGCTGCCCATGTCGACTTTGACGCGCAGACAACCGATCCAGGAGCCGACGATTTACGCGCAAGTCGCCAGTCATTCTAAACCGATTTACGTGCCACCACCACACCCGTACATGAATCGTCCCAGCGACGAGATCACGGCGGAGACGCCATTGATCGGACACGACAATAAGGTAACAGCGCGTGCAGCCACCATTTCTTCAGGACGATGCCGACGGTGAGAGAGTCGCGATTCGGCCAGTCCTTCGTCTATGAAGTTCGTCCTTTGAATTTCTCGCATTTGCGGGTTCACACAGAAATCAAATCTCCTGCTCCGACTGGAAGCTTCGTTTTCTGCTACAATAACTGAAAACAGATCCGCTATATATTAAACTGCAGAACGTTTTACACAACGACTAAAGGAAACAAAAATATAATTTCATTTCCATCGGATTAAATTCAGTCGGAGTATTTTGAGATCAATCAAATTGTAAAGACTACTACTAAATATACCAATAAATTGGTGATTTGTTTAGTCAAATCCTTACAACGCTCTAGAAGTCTAGACAGGTGTGTTTCTGTTTGTAAATTGTTTAATATATTAATTTGCTTCGTACAAACGTTATCAAATTCCGCTCGCTCATAACATTCAATTTTGTCCAAGCTGCAAAACGCTAACGATCCATTTCTTCCCGACCCTCAAAGGATCCTCTACTTCTTTCTGTCTCCAAAGACGACCGAATAAGAATTCCCAAAACTAACGAGCCAACTCTCAACCGTCCGAGATCCTCCGAGTAATTTCAAGTCAAGCGCTCGGAAGCTGCAGTAGATACGAAGTCGCGACAGCTGTTAACACAACGGGGCAACTAGCTCCATTACTCGAAACAATAAAAGTATCAACCGAATTGGCGGACTGTACGGTGATCTCGCGAAGATCGGAGACTCAAACGGACTGGCTGATGAACGCTGGATTCTGTCCCCCCCCTCTCTCTCTCTCTCTCGCTGGCAACATCGCTAACCGGACGATAAATGAGCTTTAACCGTTGATCCGTGCCTCTCTCCCTCTCTCTTCTAGATCACTACGATCAGCCATTCGGGCAGCTCAATCTGGCGCACCGACACGACGCCCTCTTCGAACGCACCGACGACATGATTTCAGCAAGCTGCACCGTAATCCACGATTCCATTTAGCCCCCTGAACGTCTCTTAATGTACACCCTCCCACTCCATCCCTCCTCTTTCCCTTCTCTTCCCGCCTTACCTTTCCAATCCCGCCCGCCCCTCCTCCAACTTTTTTCCTTCTAGGAGAAGAGGAACAAGAAGAAAAAAATACAGAGTACACATCGATCCCACGTACGTGTTAAATGCGAAGTTCTTCGAGGGAGGCGCCGCGGCCCCTCCGTCGGCGGAAATTGTTACAGTAACTTCTTATACTATACGAGTGTTGAATAGAAGATTCGTTCGACGATGAAAGTAATTAACGAAATCGCGCGGAGTATATTATATACGTATACATAGAGGAGAAAGAGAGAAAAAGAGAGAGTGTGCGTACACGTATGTGTGTGTGTGTGTGTGCGTGTGAGAGAGAGAGAGAGAGAGAGAGAGAGAGAGAGAGAGAGAGAGAGAGAGAGAGAGAGAGAGAGAGAAGGATTATGCGCTTTCTGAATGATTTGTGATAGTGTGGTCGGTCGGAGCTGGAAAAGCTTGAACCCTTTTTCTCTTCAGCCGTCCGTGAAACTCGAGGCTCGCGGCGCGAGCGCTGTCTTGATCCCCGAACGAGGAGGAGCGCGTTATAGTTTGAAGTTTTATGAGAAAAATGAGATAATAGACACGTTATCAGAGGGTTATCCGTCACGATCTTCAATCCCAAGGCGCGCCTATGGGACTTGCGACCCTCCCGTGACGGAGTTCTCTCTCTTGAGTGCAGCTACGGCAGCGGGAGAAGTCTCATCTGCTGGGAGACGTCCGACTTCGCCGGTCCCGAAGAGCGACAATGCACAGTCGCAAGCCGGAGCGGATCGAAACAGCGCCCCTGTCCGCCACCGCGTGTGTGTAAATCAAACAACGTCGGTGAATTGTGAACGTAACGACGCAGTGTGTTCGATAGGACTGTTAGTCGCGCGTTTATTGCATTACACGTGTGACCCGGTACTTTCTGTAGCCACCGTCGCGCCCAAAGTTTAGTTCCGAAACGTGCCATTAAAGAACTTTCCGTGTTCGGATTATCGTTATCGAGGTAGTGTTTCCGTTTCGACACTTTGTGCGGAATTGTCGGCCGAAGCGACGGAGATGATTCTTAAAAGAGAGCATGGACGAAGAAAGAATCAGCGAGATTTGATTTGGAGAATTTCTGCTGTTCAACGACGCGGTTCCACGACGATCGAGTTTTCGCCCGCGTTCCTTTGCCCGCAGTCTCTGCCTTATTGTTTTTCGACCGAAACGGCGAATTTCTCGTTCGAAATTAGGAAAGCGCCGGAAAGCGAAGTGTCCCCACGCTTAGCGCTCGGTCACATTGTTGATGAATGCTAGTAGAATCGTCGAGAGAGAAACGAGATCGAAGGTAACGCCCGTCGCGAGCTCGAGAAGATCGTGTTATTCGGCTCGGCGGATCGAGTGTTGACTTTCGTAAGGCATGCGTTTTCCTTTCGGCTCCAGCCGGAGCCGCTTTGCCATGAGAGTACCACGTACGCGTTTGAGTGAGAGACAACGCGCAAGCTTTAACGTTGCGGTCAACCGGAGGAATATGCCTTCTTTCTCTCGCTTCGGTTTCATAGTTACCCGCTACACTCGCGTAGTGACCATTTAGCGTAAGTCGTTTGTTCATTCAGAGGGAATTATGTAGACGAGTTACCGGTAGCAAGAGTAGACGATACTTGAGAAGGCGGATGAAACGAGGAAGCGAGCACGCACGTGCGCGAGCTTTCTGTCTCTCCGAGAGATCACGATCGATCGTCACGGTATAATGAGTCCTCGTGCGCTGATCGTCACGCTGTCTCTCGTCGAGGAGAATGGGAATCCGAGAAGGCAGAACGGGAAACGACGAGAGACGAGATGAGACGAGACGAGACAAACACGATGATCGACGTGAAGAATCTTCGCGAGAGCCTCGCCGCGCGGAGCCTTTGAGAAGACTGAGCGAGAAACTGAGGACGCGGGAATTTGTTTTGTGATGCGCATAGTATTAACAGAGACGGGCTCGATTTTCGCATTTGGAAGCGCGCGGGACTGCTGTTGGCGGCGAAATTGAAGAGGATTGACGAACGATCGACTGATCGCCGATTTGGCTTGCGTCGACTGAGACACTGAAGTGGCTGAACGCGTTTCCGTCATTCGCGCGGGTACACGACGGCGACGAGCTTCTCGAGGAGGAATCACGCCGCCCGATATGTCGAACGTACACTTTTTGCTGTGGCTTACCTCGTGTCTTGCGCTCTGCAATTCTCGCTTTTCCCCGATGAGAATTCCCGTTACACAGCCCTACGACTGATGAACGACACGCTCTCTCAGTATTTCCCGCTTCAATGGCTCACTTTATTTGCCTGTTAAAAGAAAGTATAAACATTATATTCCAAAAAGAAAAGCATAAGAATAGAAGTAACGATCGAAACAAGCGCACGGTCTGTTCTCGTGTTATCGGATTTAATTATCACCAATTTAGCTGCAGCGCCTTTCAACGTGAACCTTTCGTAAATCGGCCCCTATAGGGGGGGGGAGGGTGGCAGTCAGCCGATTCTGCACGCGACTTACGCATATAAAGCAGTTGTCTATGAATACGATACATACATACATACTGAGAATGAATCGTAACATGTTTGTAACATGTAAGTTGAAATTGTCGACAACGATCGAGCTTTCCTCGCGACAGATTTTCCACCGAGATGAGATTTATATATTAATCAACTAATTGTGTGGGCGTACACACGTGCCCGTCGCAGCTAAAGGGTTGAAGACACGCGACGCGGATAAAAGTGCTCGAGTGAGTGAAGCGCTCGTATGGAAATTGAAGAAACGCACGTTGCTTTATCGTTAGGATTTATCAAAACGGATAACGCCCGTCTCTGATACGCGAGTTCACCAACGATGGGAGTGATGTAAGCGGAAAAATGGCGGAGAGATATAAAATTGTTCCTTGTGATTCTCTTTTCTATATGATATATATATATATATATATTTAGTTCGATAAAGTAACAATAAAAAAAAGTAGAGCTGAACGGCGGTTTACATCACCCTCATTCCGCAATCGACTCGCAAGATCGCTGCGCGAGGACGACTGTTGCTCGAACGAACTCGATATATTGTTGTTGTACAGACGAGACCACTGCCTCTCGTTTCGTCGAGGTGTGCGTGCCGGTGTCGATTCCAACGGGGGAACGTCGTGACGTGTTCACGTTGATTAATTCATCGACTGATTAATTAACTAGAAACGCTCACGTCTCCTCTCGTGAAGCAAAAGCGCAATGTGCAGCTCGCGATGTGTTTTCGCAACACGTTCCCGCGCGCGTGCGTGTGTGTGTGTATGTTTGTATGTGTGTGTCTCTCTTGCTAGTTGATATTTATTTCCCCGAAGAAAACAAGTGCCCCCTTCCCCGGCCCCCTGTTCTTCCCGCCGCCGAGCGATGCGAACGCACTGTCGAGGGAAGGAGTCGATCAAGAGAAGAATCGATCGAGAGAGAAAGGAAAAAACAGACACACGTCCGCAGGATGTTCTTCATCATTCTTCTCGTCCCGCAAGAAGATACGCTTCGACTTATTGTTTACATGGTTGTCGCGCGACGAATGCGCGCAGCAAGCCCGGTGATTCAAGCAAAGCGACTCTCTCGTGCACCGACACTTTCTGTCACGGTATGATTTCTCGCGTGCGTGTGATAACGATACTCGCAGACTCTGTTCGCACGCGTGTGAGAACTTCATAATTCTCCCCTTTTCTCCCCGCCCTTCCATTCGCCCCTTGTCTTTGAATCTCACTTCTTCCGAGATAGTTAAGTAATATAGCGCACTCACTATCGATTAATGGACTCCGCTGTATTCGCTCAATGTCTAACACCGTAACGTAGATGTTAGAGGAGTCGCGGTCTCGTACGCACCGGAATGTGACGCTGCAACAGAGAAGAGAAAAAGAAAAATGTGAGAAAGCGGCGGAGTCGCCGCGAGTCGTTCGCGCTGAAACGGTGTTCTCCTGTTGCGATTCTTGCGATTAAAGGTACAATAGAGAGAGAGAGAGAGAGAGAGAGAGAGAGAGAGAGAGAGAGAGAGAGAGAGAGAGGGAGAGAGAGAGAGAGAGAGAGAGGAGGTATTTTGTCATAATGTCGCGTGTTTATTTATGATTTTGTGCATTCCCGACGTTTGTAGACGTTAGAACGTAGGTGTTTAGGCTTAAGTTTTTGTACCAAGGCGGTGGACCCGTCGAGAGCGCGAGGCACTACTCATGCGAATTACAGCGAATATACACGATATATATATAATCTTTACACGCATAACACACAACTCCGAGGAAATACAAGCAGAATGCCGTAATTAAATAAATGCGCAAACAGAGATGCGATAGGGGGAAAACCGCGGGATTGAAAAACGAGGAACGACCGACGCGACTGTGTGTTTCGGTGTGTGCGAGCTCTGCGATTCGTTTGAAACGACGAGATTATTGCCCTTCTGATAAGACCGACGATCAAATACGCTCGAAGAATGGCTCGACGAGTCTCTCAGCGAGTCCTATTTGTAATCTAAATTTTAAAACGCGATTACCTTGTAAGTGTAACGATAGCGAGGAACTTTCACGATTCGCGCATGTGAGTGGGTTGAGTAATAATAATAATAATTATAATAATAATGAAATAATAATAACAATAACAACAATAATGAGAAAGAAGCAGAAAGGAAAAAAAATAAAAGGGGCACAGTGGCGGTAGAGCCGTGCGCCAAAATCAGAGATTCCGTATTTTGTCAGATAACTATAATTATTATTGCCAGTGTACCATAAAACTTTGATATGTATTGTTAGTGTATGCATCGTGGGTATTACGTAAATTTAATTATAAACCATACACACATACACTTTCACACATACACACCAATATACGAGCATACGCATATGTACACGTGTGTTTGTATAAAGGAGGATAACTCGTATATAAGATAACTATATAAATATACAAATATATAATTTCAAATAACTTTTAATATAGATTTACTTGTGTAAAATATAAGGAGAACTAACTGTGCTCAATAAATTTCAATAAATAACGATTTTGCCTATGCCAATAATTATCATTATTGCCATTTTACTTTTGTATAGGATGCGTCGTAAAGAGAGAGATACACATGTGTATATATATATATTATTTGAAAATAAAAATTCACTTGATCCGTTACGAATCGTATTACTTAAAAACAAAGGTCCCTCCGACCTCGTCGTTTAACTGCACTACGTAAAGTAAGGATATTTTAGTTGGTTTTTGAGTTGTGGTACTTATGTCGATCTTGAAATAAATATTCATAAATATTTTATTTATATTATTTTATTTATTTTTATATTTTTTAATGATATTGTATAATAAATCGGTCAATAAAAAATTTATGTGCTTCGTAAGTTCATTTTGTAGTATTGTGTTATATTCAAAATACAAGGAAAGTTCGAGGAAATGATACTAAAACGAACGAACTTTTATACTTTTATACGTTATTATGCTAAAAGTTTATACTAAATGCAACACCCGATGTGCTGCTTTTTTTTGAGAGTCTTCCTCCATCACTCCAAATTTCTTAAATTCGCCCACTTTCTTCTGAAAGAAGTTTGTCTTGCCTTCCAAGGAGATAAAGTTCATAAACGGATAACGACATAAATCGTGTATAATCTTCATGATTAATCATATACAATCTCAATTCTTATTTTTTTGGCGCATATTAACATGTTAATTCATGTTACAAACGCATAACAATAGGTGCATTCAGTACTACAACCGTTCACTGAGCGCTAAGTGAGCTCTTGCATCTGATTGGTATATATTTTTAAATCTAAAGGAATATACCAATCAAATGTAAAAGCTCATTGAGCGCTCAGTGAGCGTTGTAGTACTGAATGCACCCAATGTGCGAAACCATTGGTCTGTTCTTTGTAGCTGGCTGCACTGTTGAACTGGTGCAATAAGTTAAAGTGAGACAAATATAGGTTTTCTCATTCTAGCTTATTGCACCAGTTCAGCAGTGCAGCTACAAAGAACAGACCACATGTTTGTCAAGTACGTTATTATATTATCAGAGAGAAACCTGAGAGCGGCCAACACATTTTCTGCGACACTTTCCGCACTAGAGTCCCTATAGTAAGAGTCTGGCCAATGTGATCCAATTTTTGATTGGCTGGATACGAAATGGCGCCACCAATTAGTGATAGCAAAGTATGCGGGATATTTGAATAGCAGTAACAGGAAAAGGAAAATTAAAATACATTTTTGCAATTTTTTTATTATTAAATTTCTATATTACATAAAGTTAAAAAAATATTACATATGTAATAACATGATTATTAAATTTTATCTAATAACGGAATGCATAGCCATGGTTTTACTATTAAAAACAGGTTTTTCTAATTTTTCAGTGTGACAACTTTTTATTTTAAAATTAATGAAAAGAATTTTAATTTTGTGAGATAAATTGTGACATGTTTTTAATGCAGTACATTCAATATCTTTCATTTTCTCAATAAGGAAATTAACAATGTTATAATTGCTTTGCTTAATATAAGGCAAATAATGTACAATTACATAATTCATTTCTAAGAAATAATTAAACGTCGTATCGTTAACAAAAAATAATGTTTTTACGCGATAACATTTTAATAATAATATTTATTAATAATAATTTAATTATTTTCATCATTGTTTTTATTATATTTTAACTTCTTCATTTTTCCATCGAAAGATTCCGACATTGCTTATGTATGAGGAAAACTTAGTGGCATTGCTTGTGCTTTTAATTTTTTGGAACCATCCTGCCGCGGTTTTTCCCACATTTCTTTAGTAAAATGAACCTACAAATACAATTAGATGAGAAACATGTTTTGTTTATTATTTGATATAATTATATGCTTACCTCACAAATTGCTGAATTTCGTTTTGCTGAAGTTCGTTGAAATCGTTGAATATTGTTTCGGTTTCCAATTTTCTCTTCTAATTTGTTTCAACCATATAATTTTTTGTTTTTTACTTATTGGAAAACGTTTCATATAGAAGCCATTTTCGCTTGTATTTCTGCATCCCGGTATGCAACAACTAGTCATTTTTAAAATATTTTTATAAATATTTTTATATATAGTCCTCTTATTGTGTTGGAAGTTTTTTCCAAGATGAAATGATGTTATGTTATCACTTAAATGTGCACGCGTAAAAACCGAGATTACAGTAGATGCAGTACAGATGTAGTAGCCATTTTGTATCCAACTAGAACATTGGCCAGACTCTTAAGCCAGCGGCACACGGTGCTTGTTTTCGTTCTGGATTGCTTACTGGATGAAAATACTGCGTTCTGATTGGTGCATTTTCATCCATCTTCGGAAATGCACCAATCAGAACGCAGTATTTTCATCCAACAAGCAATCCAGCACGAAAACAAGCACCGTGTGTCGCTGGCTTATGAATCAGGTCCCGAACGCGCAACGTCCCGTCGCCAGCTAGTACGTCCTCCTTCTTTCATGAACCGGGCTTAACTTTCTATCAACATGAGAAATTGACGCTCCCCACTACACGTGAGAATACGACGAATCGCGTGTTAAAAACAATTCTATTTATACTATAGAAATGATCAGTTGAATAGAAATGGAGATAAAATAGAAATAGCTGTTATCCTGATAAAAAACTTCTACATTTCTTATTGCTTCGTCGACTAGCAGATGGGAAGGACGTGACGTTATAGTGGAGCGCTGAACCGCCGAAGTCAACGCTTTATACACTTTTCACTGACCTAGTGGTGTTCTATTTTCAATTCTGATTGCAACTGTGATTTTGTTTATGTCATACGGCTGCGTTCGGAGTGGAAATTAAATGTAAAAATTTATTCTATTTAATTTATTGTTAATTTGATTAGCGACACGTAGTGGATTTAAGACAGCCGTTAAATTGCCCTCATGTTAGACTCGAACTTTCATAGTTTGTACATCAATATTATTGTAACCGTACTTTAATTATTCCTCCTAGCATTTAGTAAGCGCGCATGCAATATAATGTACATAACACGATACGTAAAAAATGCACACATCGCGAAATTTTGAAACTCTTGCAGAATAAGTACAAAAAATTAGATTACTGTGTTATTTTTGTTAAAGATATCAGAGTATATAACATTCAAATCGATACAAGGATACACAAAAAATAAGTAGAACAGAGAGCCGCACCTAATAGTTATCAACCGTGAGAAAGGTCTGCTACATCAGTGCAAGCGTAAGTAAGATCAAATAAAAAAACACTATTTTCTAAAACAAGGTGGACTACTTCCTTCTTGCTCGAAATTGCGAAGGTCAGAATTTCAGTTTCTAATGCTAAGACAATTACAAAAATATCCATTCCTCAGTATACTATGATCATAATCTCGTGGAAATTCTCGATTTATTATGTGTAATCGGGGAGGCGCTATTGAAGTTACTAACGTAAACGTTACAATTAGTATCACGATATTATAGCGTTTGTTAGGGCTATCATCTAATTCCGCGAGCAGCCCGTAGCGCTAAATAGCATTAATAGTGTCTTCTTGAACGCACTGATTGAAATGTATTAGTCGCAAATTGTTTCTCAAATTACTTTATTCTGATAATATGGTTGCATTTGCTGGAACAACGAAACCAGAGGATTAATATATCCACGTTCGATTCGTGTTTCATGCTTTCAAATTCTATGACTTCGATCATGTCGAATAATAATAATAGCAACGATGTAAGTACTTAAGTCTTTCTCTTGTGTCTTTCTCTTTTGTACAATAATATATCTTGTTTTATGCGTAATTCTGTCAACTGGGATTTATTTGACTAACAATTTTTCTTTCCTCTTCAAATTGTTTCGTGCAGAATTTCAATCGAAATTCTCAGCGAAAACCGAGACACACGAATTCGAGTAATATCAAATTCGAATAATTTTTATTTGTACAAAGTGAATCGTCCAGTAGATATTTTTATTCGAAATTGAAAAGCGTATTTAATATATTCCATCACCACAATAACAATTTTACTTTTATTGTTATGGAGTTAGAATTTATTCTGAGTTTGAGCAAAATATTCATTTTTATGAATAATAATAATTTTATTATCGCATTGATTGAATTTTCATGGGAATTTTTGAATAAGATTTTATTCTAACACAGTTAGAAAATTTTTACTTTCCTTTTCTTAAATTTACCCAATTGCTTCATGTTCATTTAATCAATATTATAATCAGAATCTGAGTCACGGAATCATTCTCTCTATTTGCGCTTGGATAAAAACGATTTGTTGTGTTGGGAAAAGCGATTTCGCGATTTGGATTCTGATTTATCATTTAATTTTAGATCAATGCTTGGAATTACTTTATGATATCAGCGATTCTGAAACGAATAGTGCGTTTATTAAATTTATGATCGAGTATAGAAACGAAAATGTGAAGGATAGTAAATGCAGAAAAACTAAAGGTCGCCTGGAAAGTAAAAGTAATTCCGAGCTCTGTTTTGCGTAAAGCAAGAATTAGTCGTTGACAAAATGCTAAACAAACTAGGTCACGAGTATAAACAGGCTATTATTAAGGAAAATTGCCCAAGCATGGAAAATCTTAACGGATATAGTACCAAGAAAACGCCAGTGCAACAATTTTACACGGGACAATCGATTTTCATCACAGGTATTGTATTATAAAATTTAATATCGGTTATGCCTAGAATTATACATATACACATGTATGTATGTGCGTGTGCGTCTGTCTGCGCGCGTGTCTGTGTACATTTTAACATTCTTATGTATCTTAATTTATTTCAAAAATTTGAAACGAACTTTCCGAACCATCTAATATCATATATATATATATATACAGGGTCCTCAAAAAGTCCGGGGACGCTAAACTATTTCGGAAAATATGAAAGATACGAAAAAATATTCCATACAAAAGTTGTAGGGCTTATAAAGATTTATTTAGTAGTCATATCAGTTTGACCATGGGTTACGTTGCTAAGGTCATGTGAAGGTCAACTTTGTTTTTTTAAATAGAAGCCCATATTTTTTATTAGAAATTCTTATAACTTATCTCGAGAGCTTTCCAGAATACTATAATGAAGTCAGTTTTTATTAAATTCTTTCCGAGTTATGACGCTTGAAAGTTACAGTACCGCCGACATTAGCATTACCCAAAGTGTACCGCACAGAGGTTGCATGGTCGGATTTACACCTCGCGCGCGCGCGCGTGTGTGTGTGCGTGTGCGTGTGTGTGTGTGTGTGTGTGTGTGGGTAACATTTTTCAAGCTATTGTTTTTTACTTTTTCAATTAATCAAATGTTCAAAATGTCTTCCTTCTACTATTTGACAATGAGCCAAACGTTCATAGTAACTATTAATCACATGGCTTATTTGTTCTAAAGTGATCAGACATGCTTTCTGCATTATTCGATTCTTCAGCTCTTCCAATCATTCGAAAACAAGGTTTCGTCGCATAAACCTTACTTTTAATGTGTCCCCAAAAAAAGAATTCGAGAGGAGATAGTTCAGGTGATCTAGCAGGCCACTCAATAGTACCTCTCTTACCTAGCCATCCTTATAATTTTCTATTAATCATATAATATATTAATGAGTAATTTTTTTTATTTACTTGGTTTCTTGAAGTTTTGAATTTAGTTCACACACAGAATGAGCACTTTTTCAAAGATTTATATAACACAATATCTTATTAATATAGAAAATAATCATTTAATTTAATCCGAGTTCATATACATATGTAAAAATTATTACAGTTTTGTGTGACAGATTTAAATATTTTGTATATACAAAAAAAATCTAATCTTTTTGAGAAAGAATTAAAAAAATAATACCTAATTTTATCATAATCATATCATTATCACATTATAAATAAGCTTATCATTTTAAAGGAGGATCCGGTTTCCTTGGAAAGATACTAATACAAAAATTATTGCGAAGTTGCACCGATATTACTACTATCTATATACTAATACGTCCGAAAAGAGAAAATAACATTGAAGATAGGCTCAACAATATATTTGGAAATGTGGTAAATAATCGTTTAACGATAATTTAACGACATTGTCGTTAAATATCTCGTTTATAAATTATCTTTATTAATATCATTATTATTATATTACTGTTATCATACTACAATTATGCTATAGCAACCGTGTAAACTTAACATAAATGTTGGAGTCTATCATTAGCTTCAATTATTCCACGATATTATATAATTGGGTATTTATTATTAATAATTTTAGTATTAATAATAATTATTATTATATCACTTATTCATAGATTTTTGATCAACTCGAGGTGGAAGTGCCGAATTTTCGAAGCAAAATCGTACCGATAAAGGGCGACTTTTCTGTTGATAAATTAGGACTTTCTGACTATGATGAAAATCTTCTTAGACAAAATGTAAGAATTGACACATATTCCTTTCATCTTTCTCGTCTTACTTTGGCAAATTACGAACGATACCGTGGTCTTTTCGGGATGATATCAAACTAACATTTCACTGCAGGTGTCCATTGTCTTTCACGTAGGCGCGACCGTATGTTTGACTGAAGACATCAAGATTGCTACAACGATAAACACCAGTTCTACCGATTATCTCTTACATATGGCTAAGAATATGAAAAAGTTGAAGGTATCGCATTTGAATCGCACTTTTAAAAGATATTTTAAAAGTGAGATAGAATAATTACAGAGATAATATAATTACAGAGACAAATTTAATAAAAGATAATCGACACTGAAACGAGATATTGTTGATGTCTTAAAAACAAATTTTATTCTATTTATTTGTATCATTTAGTCGATTGATCGTGCAGATATGAATCTACATTGCAGGCGTTTATTTACGTGTCGACGGTATATGCAAATGGTCATTCGAAACACATCGGAGAATATTTCTATACATATCCCATTGATTACCAAACTCTCCGTACATTAATGAGGGACTTAAAATCCGAAGAAGTCAGTAAGAAAATCGTCGAGTAAGTAAATTTCTTTCATAAATAACTCTGTTCTGCTTAATTCCGCTTAAAAGAGTCAACATGTATTCTCATCTCAAGCGGAATAGAAATAACAAAATAGCGAGTAATTCTAAAAGATCTTAATAAAGAAATCAGTGTTTTTTTCTAGACATTTCCCTGAGTATATGAATACATATGTATTTACTAAAGCCATGGCCGAATCATTGATAAGAGATACAAGCGAAGAATTGCCAATTGGAGTCTTCAGACCAGCAATAGGTGAGAAATACGTTCCATTAAAATTGTACTTTTTGCATTAAATCTCACTCCATTACATTGAGTTTGCTCCGCAAAACTTGGTGAGAAATATTCTCAAAATTTTTCAAAAAATATTTCACACACATCAGGTTTCCTCATATATTTTTCCGCAAAGCATAACACATAACAACGTTGTCAGTCAACTTTGATTATAATATAAATAATAAAATAATAATATAAAATAATTATAAAACATAAGATAAAAGGGCTAAGGTCTAATTTGTACCTTTATTATGATTATGCTATACATGCAAGTACATTTGATTATCGGAATGTTTTAATCATACGTTCTGGTCACTTTTAACCGAAATTAAAAAATATTATATGTGATTAGAGAAACAAGTAAATAACAAGTAGAGAACAAAGTAAATATCATATGATGGATAAAAATAGAAACTAGATAATTTTGATCAAAACTTACTGGTGGAAGCGTATTATTAGAATTTTTAAAGAAGATTATATATAATATTCTGAATATTTCTTAACAAGTTTTCTCGTGTTTTTTTCCAGCACATAATATCGTTAGTAACTTTTGCTCTTAAATATCTTTTTTGTACATGGTATTATATAAAGTATTGATAAAAACATGTTTTGCAACATGTGTTATTCTACGATGTTCGATCACAAAGAGCCAATACATTTTATTATAACGCAATAAGAACAACGGTTAATATACGCGGATAATATACGTTGAACTTCGATACGTTTGATCGACCTTCAAACGATCATCATGCTGCCGTAATCATGTTAAAATGTAAATCAAATGTGTCGCAGACATCATATAAAAAAGAGATTACATGTATCACATTTTTTATTCTATGACGCTCTATCATAAATAGACAAAACATCTTTATATAACGCAATAAGAACACGTTGGTGCGAATAATTAGACCGATCAAATGTATCGAAGATCAACGTATAAGAAAATGATGACATTCAGAGATTAACATTATGAGATAAGTTATCCGTATCAACATGTTCTTACTGCGTTATATTAAAATATACTGGCCTTTTATAATCGAACATTGTGGAGTAAAACATTTTATGAAACATATTTTTACCAATAGTTTATATAATATACAAAAAAGATATTTAAGAGCAAAAGTTACTAACGATATTATATGCGGTTCAGCACTAGTCATTTTAAATTTATCTAACTTTTTTCAGTCACATCGCCCGCCGAAGAGCCGCTTGTAGGTTGGACCGATAATTATTTTGGCCCCGTGGGATTAATAACGTATTATTTTAAAGGAATAACGAAATATTTATGGATTGATTCTAAATGCACAGCTAACTTAGTGCCTGTTGATAAAACCATAAATGCTCTAATTGTTTCTGCGTGGGACGTCTTTAATAAATCAAAGAGGTACGGTTCAAGTGTAGCTATCAACGAGAAATCTGCACATATAGTATAATCTGTGGAAAGCGTTAAATTATGATTAGGGGCAAGTTTACACGTGCAATAGTCATAGAAGTATATGCAATGATATAGAAGCCCGTGTAAATTATCCTCGACAAAGAAGGAAAGGGCAAAAAAGCGTATTATTATTCATGAATTATTATTATCATTCATGAGTTAAATTTTTTACCTATCATTATTGTACTCGACTATATATTTTGGAAACACATTATTTTACATGATATTTTATTTTAATACCAAAATTCACATATCTCTATGTCACGTACAATTCGCATATCCGTAACTTTTCGTTTTAATACGGAACTTAAGTATTTTTAAATATATTATTTTATTGTCGCATGATAATTGAACGATCAACTATTATATTTGTTATATAATAATCAATTATTATGTTCTATACGAGAAAAAAGATCCATTTTAATTGGTCGAACGTTAACCTGGAATTATTGGGTGAAGTAAAAAGTTCTGAGCGTTTTTTCTCTTTATTTCGACGATGAAATTAACAAAGTTAGGATTATCGAATTTAGATCAAATATGCGCCGTTTTGTTCGATAACTTTTGTCTATTTTGAAGGCAATTTCATAATTCTGCGATTGAAGAAGTCCTCGTCCCTATTGGTAAAAAACTTGACCAGCTCATTTTCACAAGCCTCTCTTGAGGCCAGTTTTGTACCATCAAGAAAATTTTGCAAATGCTTGAGAAGGTGATAATTGCTTGGAGCTAGGTCTGGGCTATACGGCGGGTATAACCTACTATCCAAGCTCTCGGAGCTTCTGGCGCGTCGTCAAAGATGTGTGCGGCCTGGCATTGTCTTGATGGAACACAACACCCTTTCTATTGGCCAATTCTGGCCACTTCTCGTCGATCGCTTGCTTCAATCTGGTCAGTTGTTGACAGTGTAGGTCCGAATTGAGTGATTGGCCCGATGGGAGCAGCTCATAGTGGATGATTCCCTTCCAATCCCACCAAACACACAGTAAATCCTTCTTGGCCGTTAATCCGGGCTTGGCGATCGTTTGGACCGGCTCACCGCGCTTGGACCACGATCTTTTTCGCCTGTTGTTCTCGTATGTGACCCATTTTTCATCGCCAGTCACCATCCGCTTCAAAAATGGGTCGATTTCGTTACGCTTCAGCAAATAATCGCAGACATGAATTCGGTCCAAAAGGTTCTTTTGCGTCAATTCGTGTGGCACCCATACATCGAGCATCTTCTTGAGACCAGCCTTATGCAAATGGTTCCAAACGGTTTTCTGGCTAATCTTCAGTTCCTGGGCAATGGAATAAGTGCTCGCATGCCGGTCTGACTCGACGATTTCCATGATTTTATCGACATTTTCGACGATTGGCCTACCAGAGCGTGTCTCATCTTCGACGTCCATATTACCAGAACGGAATCGTTGGAACCACCGCTTTGCTGTTGCATTCGATACTGTATTGGGTCCATAAACAGCACAAATTTTTTTGGCCGCCTGCTCCGCTTTTTCCCTTTGGTCGTAGTGGTACTGAAGAATGTATCGAATTTTCTCTTCTTTTACCTCTGTTTTGGAACGCTCTGGCGAACACACAACTGGCTTCACCAAACACAAAACTGTCAAAGAACTTTTTTTAAAGCGTCACCTTTAAGTCGCAGTATAGAATGACCAGATGCGACGTATACATCGTGAGATATGACCTCACTAAAGCCATCTAGCGAAAAACGCTCAAAACTTTTTACTTAACCCAATATTATATATAGTGCCTACCAAAAGTTCCGAGCCACCTAAATAATTTTTGAATGGTTTGAAATGTAGGATTGAAATTTATAGGAATACAATGGGATCACAAAGTCTATTATTTAACCACAAAAATAGTCACCTCCACATCCCTGGGAGACAGGGGAGGGGGGAGCCAAAAAATCTTAAATCCTGTTGAAGCAAATTTGTTTTTCGCGTTTCAAGAGATGGTGTGTCTAGCGTGCGCACTGTATGTAAGTTCTTCCACGCGTGCATGGTCAGTCTGTTGTTTTCTCTTCGAGCGACCACATGCATGGTGAAGTCCTCGGCTTTTTTTTTTAATCAACTAATAAAACCAGTGCGATAATTTTCACCAACGCTTCATCTTAAGGCGTGAAGCCTTATCTTTCTTCTGTTGTCGCCGTGGGCCCGCTATCGCAAAATCTCAATAGAAATGTTCAAATGATCATAACTCTGCGAAAAAAATCGTAGAGACCTCAGCGACCTCGCGTTTTTTTATCTCGGAAAGCCCTTCCGAACGAGCCCTCACTCAACCCCACATGCGATTTAAGATTTTTTAGTTCCCCCCTCCCCCATCTTCCAAGGGTGTGGAGGTGCGTATTTTTGTGGTTAAATAATAGACTTTATGATCCCATTGTATCCCCATAAATTTCAATCCTATATTCAAACCATTCAAAAATTATTAAGGTGGCCCTGAACTTTTGGTAAGCACTGTATGACACTTGTACGTCGTAATAATCCTCCGAATTACGTTAATATATTTTCGTTGCAAATAATTCTTATATTTTATGTCAATTGTTGTCGCAGGAGAAGTGAGAAAACGTTGATTTACAATTACATATCGTCCAATGATGCGCCCTTGACTTGGGACAAATATTTGGATGCAGCGCAAAAATTCTCTGAAAAATACCAGCTGAAACATTCGAGTCGAACTATTACATTAATTAAAAATAACATTTTATTCAACTTCTACTCTAGGCTTGCTCACACATTATCTGTTGCATTAGTCAACGGGACGAACGACATCGATAAACAAAGGTATGTCAAGATGATTTATGATATCAAGGTAGTTTCATTACATTATATATCTGATTCAGAATACGAAGAATATACAATAAATTTTATCATACTATGAATACTATTGGATATTGGGGAATCAATGAGTGGACTTACACTAACGACAATGTTCATGCAATGTGGTATAATTTGGACAAAAGGGATAAGCGTCTATTTAATTTTGATATGCAAGGATTCAATTGGCCGAACTATTTGGATGGACATTTTAAGGGCATATTCACATATCTATTTAAAGAAGATTTGAATATTTTGGAAGTCAAAAATCGTGCAAAAATATAGGAAAAGAGGTAAATGTAACGAAGTCTCACTTTGTAAAATTCAAAAAAATTTATTATTTATTTGTTTATATATTATTTATTTATTTATTTATTTATTTATTACTTCTTTTGTTAGCAGCACAAGTACATTACGTCATTGTTTTTAGAATAACTATAAAATTGTACATCATGTTTACTATATAATTATACATTGCAGGCAGTTTCATCTCAACAACATAACAATATTGAGCTTATTCTCATTAATCATTTTGTTCATTTGGCTAATAGTGATGCCTATAGTTATATGAATATAATATTGACATATGTGTAGCTGTAATATTAACATTTGTTATTAATATCACATATGTGCGGTAATGGTAATATTTCTTTCTATATCTCTATAAACAACCTAAGTCTGATTTTTAGACTTACATAATTACATAAAAATAAATAAGATAAATAAGACCTATAGAGAGAATTTCCCAAATAAACCATGGTAGCAAATCATGTCAATTCTAATATACTTACGTAAGTATTTTGAAATATTTAAGTATTTCGATAATACATAAATATATCGCACAAAGTATTAACTGTATAAAATTCAGCTTAATCTAAAATAAATAAAATAATTATTCAAAAAGGAGACTCCCTGATTTTTACAAACATTGTTATATTACCCATTTTAACGAACGATATAAACGCATGAATGCAAAATCCTAAACTGAGAGAATAATGTTTGATATTTCTAAATTAACAATAAAATAATTAAAGTTAGAAAAAATCCGTTTTTATATATGCACTTATGCTTTGTATAATTTATCTAAATATTTATTTCGTTATCACAGACACAATGAGCGAACAATTGTAGCTCTATTAATTGTAGTTTTATTATGGTAAAATAAAATGAAAAATGTAACAACTTTAACAGATAACTTTTATCTGAATAAATTACATCGAACGCCATGTAATGACTTAGCACACATCTAATTATTTTTCTTTCTTTAATATTCCTTTATATACGTATGTTATACTGTGCAGTATTGCAACTTATTAGATAATATAAAAATATGTGACACATAAATATTCCTTACAAAATGATATTTTATAAACATATACACACTACGTAGGGTGTTGCACCAGAGAGGAACCTGAGAGCAGAGAGAAGCCTGAAAGCGGGCATGGCTGCATTTACAGCGTTATGGAAAAGTTGGCTGATTCGTAGCGCCAACTGGGTCTATTTTTCATGGATATGAACTACTAAGCCAATGTCTACGATTTGTCGGTACTATTCCGTGCTATATAATTATTTGGTTCTATTCTGTGCTATGTTCACGAGCGAGCTAGATTAGTTAGATAAAAACGAAGAATCGGTCTTCGTCTCACCACCAGCGAATAGACAATCGCGACGAAGCGAGCCAGCAGCGATGTTATTGTAAGGCGAATGTCGCCGTCTTCCCTTTCCCCCCTTATTTTCCTTTCCACATTGTTTTATATTCATAAGTCGCGTGCGCTCGCCTCTTGTCGTTTACGTTGCCCCTCGCCGCGCGCGCTCGTCTATCGACACTCGCTGACTCCGCCTGTATCAAATGTCTACGTGCTTACTGCGATCGCCCTCCGCTCTCTACACGCTCGTTGGCTCACATGTTTTAATTAATAACTCGATAACTATTGGCAATTTGACATTATGATACATGACTTTTCTTCTCGGCTACACCCAATCTATCTCCAACTTTCGTCTGCATGATCAGCTATCAAACACCCTGTATATGGACAGGCGCGGGAGGGCCTCCCAAACATCGCGCCAGAGGTAAGTCACCGTGGGGTTTTAGCCGGTAAGAGTCCCGCACTACCTCGGCAAGGAGCCGGGGTGTCCATGAGGATTTCCCCACGTAAAAAAAAAAAATAAAAATAAGTGGAAAAAACGGTAACGCCGATCTACATGCAATATTAATTCATGCAAGTCTATCGACGCACCGAGTCGAAATCGATTGCTATTGGTCGTCCCCTCGTCGAATCCACGCCGAAAGACAAATATCAGCCTCGGCTGCGTGTCGAGACAGAGCGAGATGGAGCGAACACATTCTCTGTCTCTCTTTTGCTTGGCTCGTCGAAACAAGTCGAGCGGAGGGCGGGGCCTCAGAAGAAGTGTCATCGACGAAACGTGCAATACTTGCGATGCCCGTGTGTTGTATGCAACACGTGCATTTTCTTAAAATACGAAAAACAATTTATTGTGATACACGTATGTTGTATGCAACACGTGCATTTTCCTAAAATACGAAAAAAAAAGATTGGCGAAAAAGGACAACGCTGACCGCCAAGGAGATGCGTACCATCGACCTCAACTCCGCGAGCCTAGCGCACTTCCACCAAGCCACACGCTCTTTGAGAAGCTCGTTCCTTCATTTGGTTCATGAAGCACTCGCGATTTTCAATCGCGACTTTCTTGCAAATGCTTCAATGCTATGCCGTATCTTTAAGTGCAATGTTAATTTGTCATGCAAATCTATCGACACAACGAGTTTGGTCGAAATCGATTGCTATTGATCATCTCGTTAGATTCACGCCGAGAGTGAAACGTCAGTCTCGGCCGTGTATCAGGAAGCACAATCTCGGCAACGTTGCGAATCAGAGCGAGATGGAGCGAACACGTTCCCCATATATGTAATACTATTATATTGCTAGCAGAAAGAGAAGTCCCGTTCCAACACTACGGTGCGGGAATCTATTTCCCTCTCTTTCTAAGTGCACTTTGAATATTATGCGCATGCGTCGGATTTATCGTGTCCGCCAATAGAAAAGTAAAATATACACATGTGAGATGATGTTTGCTGTGAAGCAGTAACAGGTTATGTTTATTAAAATTGACAACTATGGCCCGCAAATGTTATTTGTGTAATAAAAAGGCTAGTGCGACTGAAAATATTAGTTTACACAGGTAAAGAATCAATTATACAGACAATTAATATTTACTGTGACTTGTCAATGATTTATTGTCCTTTAAATTTTTTCAAGTGAAATTTCATTCTTCTAAGTGAAAAAAAAATTTCGCCGTTACTTTTACATTTCCAAAAGAACGACAGCTTCGCTCAAAATAGTTAAATGCCTGTAACTTATCCGAAGCTGATGATGTATCAAAGATTTATATTTGTTCATGCCACTTCAAAGATGAAGAGAGAAAAAATAAAGTACAGGGGAAGTATGTTGGAAATTATCTACTTGCAGAAGTAGTTCCTTCTACATCAAGACAGAAGTTCCATAAGAACATAAAGAACATAAAGAACTGTGCTCAAGAAGTGGTGCACATCAGCAATGAAGATGTCCAATATCAGGACACATTCTTTGAAGATGTGGAAAATATGTCACCTAATGGAAAGATGATCAGCAACGATATCAGCAACAATCCTGCCACAATTATAGATGTTGAAGTCAATTATCATCAACTATCCATATGGTTAGAGAAAACCACAGAGCCTGAAGATACTGCCAGTGAGAATATACTAATATCATATGTATCATGCAAAGAAAATTCGAACAACAATGAAGGTCCTGATTATATTGGAGGTATCTGTTAAGCAGTTTTAATATTAATAAAATCGTGATAACTGTAAATTAAAATTGGAAATTTGAGAAATTGTATATAAACATCAATGTTTGTTTTTTTTGTTGCAAGTCGAGAAAAATGACATGATAAAATTAATGTCTACATAATATATAATATACTCCTTTTTATTTCAGGCTTCAAAGAAGAGGATATATGCACTCCAAAAAAAGAGTTGCAGAGTTGCAGAACCATGCTATGTTTCTGAAATTTGTGTTTCTGATGTTGCAACTCCCAAGAGAGCTAAACGGGTAATTTCATTAGTAAAACGCAATGAGGCCAAGAAGTTTTTTACATCGCAGGCTACATAAGCTACAAAGTTAGAAGTATTGTACAATGTACCATATGTCAGGCGCAACTATTGGGTGCAGATGCAGACATGCCAATGCTATCCGCTATTAAAAACCGAGGGCCGTATTTGACACCGTCTCCCGATGTATGCTTTATTTGCCAAATTTCGGAGAGAGTAATTCGGCAGTCCTCCAACAACTTTAGCGTAAAGAATGTAACAACGAATTTGCTCGACCAAATTTTCAATCAGATAGGCATTCCGTTTTCAAATTATGTAATGGACGCGCACATAAAAACGCAAGACGTACTGGACAATCACCGGGTTCAGCTTTGTAAATATGTTATAAACTTTTATTTAAATGTAAGATTACATCACGAGGCAAAAAAAGAATGTCGAACAAAAACAAATATGTTAGAAATAAGTTTACTAAACTAATATTATTTAATCATGAATAAAAAAACTATACTTTTAATAAAAATAACGTTTATTCACTTTGTATGTACACATAATACACATTTGTTCTGTGGTAATAAAAATACATTGCACTGTATTCTTATACAGTAGCATTATGCAAAATTTTGTAAAAATAAATAAGGATTTATTTATTCCGACTGAATTGGTTTGATTAACTACTACAAGGTTTATTTCTTGAACGCGGAATTATATCCGATTTTCCTATTGGCGGAGCCGATCAATCCGACGCATGCGCATAACATTCAAAGTGCACTTAGAAAGAAAGGGAAATACATTCCCGTACCGTAGTGTTGAGATGGCTGCCTCTTATAGGCAGAATAGGACGACTAGCAATATAGTAGTATTACATATATGACGTTCTCTCTCTCTCTCTCTTTCTCTCTCTCTCTCTCTCTCTCTCTCTCTCGCTTGGCTCGTCAAAATAAGCCGAGCGGAGGGCGGGACCTCAGACGGATAGACGGGAGCAGTTTCTCTGTGTGTGTGTGCCGACTACATTCTTACTCAGAAACGTACGGCAATTGAAAATGTTTAAGCATATACCCTGAGATTCTATCTGTTGCGTATGACACATGTGTGTGTGTGTGTGTGCGTATATGCACACGTACGTCACGCACACTTTCAATGCACACATGCACACGGACACAACTACGCTACCTGCCGGAGTATAAATAAATACTAACGTAACGCTGAAATATTTTGGAAAAATAATTTTGGGTACACATAAAATATTATTTTATTATCATATATTTACATATCGATATAAATCATATATAATCTTCATGATATTAATCATATACAATCTCAATTCTTATTTTTTTTGTGCATGTTAACATATTAATTCATGTTACAAATGCATAACAATGCGTGAGACCGTGCTTGTCAAGTACGCTATTATGGTTGTAGCACAGACATAAACCGCCTAAAAGTGGATGTAGCACGGACACCTACCAGATGCAGATTTTACCGTCGAGACCTAAAAGTGGATGTAGCATCGTAATTCCCCTCTCAAAATGGATGCAGATAGCGCCCATTCCCAGTGCCAAAAATCAGTGTCGCCGAAAACGCCGTGTTGACCGCTCTCAGGTTCCTCTCTGGTACAAGTAACAATGCCTCTCTCTGTAGTTGCTGTGCGCTCGGGATAGCACTAGAGATGTCGCTTCCGAACGATATCTCTTAACGTTATCTAGGGAGA